TGTTCCAATATCTGACATACCCTTTCAGTGAAGAAATTTTCCTTTGTATCCAGCCTAAACTTCCCCTGGCACAACTCAAGGCAACTTTCTCTTCTTCTATCACTTGCATCACTTGTCCCAAGATAACGAACACCCACTTAGCTACAACCTCGTTTCAGGTAGTTGTAGAGAGCAATACGGTCTCCCCTGAGCCTCCTTTTCTCCAGGTTAACCCCCCCCTGCTCTCTCAGCCACTCCACATAGGACTTACTCTCTAGACCATTCACTAGCTTTGTTGCCCTTCTCTGGACACACTCCAGCACCTCAAAGTCTTTACTGAAGTGAAGGGTCCAGAACTGGACACAGCACTTGAGGTGTGGCCTCACCAGTGCAGGGGGATGATCACTGCCCTGGGTCCTGCTGGCTGCACTGTTTTTGATGCAGGCCAGATACCCCTGGCCTTCTTGGCCAACTAGGCACACACTAGCTCATGTTCAGAAGCTGTCAACAAGCACCCCCAGGTCCTTTTCATTCAAGAAGCTTTCCAGCCACTCTGCCCCAAATCTGTAGCATTGCATGGGAATTGGAAAACAAGGTGCTTTACACCCAGACCTTCAAGCGGGAATAAAAGTATTGGAAATACCTTCTACAGGAGTGCAGTTTGGCATTTTGCTCACAAAGACAGAACTAGTTCAACATAGCATTTAAGGATTGCTACAAATGAGACAGAAGAAAAAGTGGAGTCTCCACTCTATAGAGAACAACCATCTTCCACTCCTAAGTAGTGCTTGTTAGAAAGAGGAAGTGAACACAGGGCATACACATCTGAGAGGAGGAAAGGGTGAGGGTGCATTAAACAAACAAAAAAGAAAGCCTAGGAATCTGCTTAAGATCACACTAAAAAGAATGCAAAGGATAGACTGGTGCCAGCATAGATGAAAAACTAGGGTAGCCCAGGAAAAAACACAGACTGCACTAACCAGTATCTGAAGTGGAAGGAACAAACAGCATTTCTTTACAGAAAATCAGAACTAAAAATATTCTCATGGAAGATGTGGGTGAACGCAAAGTCACTGGCACAGTTTAAAGCTGCAATCTTCTACTTCTTACCAATTTTACTTCTTCAATATCAGCATGCCTTCACCTGTAGAAAGCTTGTCTGTGGCCCCAGAAACTTGCAGTAAGAAGAGGACTTGAGATCAGAAATGGAAGTTTAAAATTCAAACTGAAATCAGATTTGGAACTGTTCAGTTTTTTCTGTCCCCTCAGAGCTGATGACTGTAGTGTAACTCCCCATGTTCACATATTCCTAGCTAACCTTTCTTTGTCTACTGAAGAAACCCAACCTACAACTTACACTGAATTTAAGCCTACAGCTAAGGCCCAAGGCATGTGACTCAATGCAAGTCTTCTGCTCCTGTGAATGCTGTCACACCTCCTTCTTTACCTTAGAATTGAGGTGAACTTGTGATTGAACTTCAGTGTTTATATCAAGAATCCTATTTTGAACTCTGGCAGCTACTAGTGAGAGCAAAGCCAATGAATGTGCTTTAAGGCAGCAACCCTTAATGTTACATAAGTTATGGTTCCTCCTGCCTCCCTTCCTTGCAATGGGAGTAATTTCAAACTGTATTTTCCTTAGTACAAAGACTAGTCTTTCTCCATAAAATATAAATGTGTCAACTTTAGGCCAGGGTCAACAAACCTTACTCTGTCTGGTGAATATGAAAGGAAGTAAGTTTTCTTTAAACATTAAAACCCCACTTTCATATCCCTAAAAGCTGTTGCTCCACAGTATATGGGGATCTAATCAAAAAGACCTAAGCAGACAGCGAGCACTGTTCAATGAGACAGTGCACAACTAGCAGAAGCCAATACAGCTTGCCAAATTCAAAGGACTTAATGAAAACTTTTGTAAATAGGATTAATATCCAAAGTGATATGAACTGCGCAAAGAATAATGTAGTTTAAGACATAAATAAGTTTTTTGAAAGATGGAAGGGAAATCCTACTCTTGCATAATGTTGATAGAGAAGTATGTTCCTACTATTTTCAACACCCACTCAACTCCTTTTTTAGTTTCAATAGTGAGGCTAAATAAAAAAACACAGCTAGAAAATAATAACAATACTGAGTCACAAAAGAAAAGCAAAGCTAGACATGCTTGTTAAAAAAAAAAAAAGCCTTTAAAAACAATTGGGACCCCTTATTTAAGGACTAACCACAGACCCTAAAAGACTAGTTCAAGTGCTGACAAACATATCCTGTGACTGTGTAACATATTGATGTCAAAACCATTTCTCTGCAACTGAAATCCTAATGTTCTGTGCATACAACTGGATTTATAGAAGAGCCATCTATCACAGGGTCTGATGTATTGATGGAAATGAGAGTGCTACAAGCCAGTTGATTTTCCACATTCTCATCTCCTCTTTTTCCCACATTTTTAAAGCACTGTCCAACTGTCATGTCCAAAATCCCTGATTTGAGCAGTGAAGACTGTTTTAAAAAGGATGAATGTTTATTTAATTAAATATTTTCACTTCCCTGGCACCTGACATATATCCTTCCCTCTCTGTCTAGACTACACTTTTTATTTCCTCAACACATAGGAAAGGACTATAGCAACCAATGTCCTGCTTTCTCTTCTATCTAATCTGAACCATGCAACTTCAGCAAGGCAAGTAGGCTTGCTGTTCCCTTAAACAGCTTATAGACTGGATACCTGATAATAACCAGTGAAGAAAAATTAACACAGTTTGACCAAATGCACCAAGACATTCCAGACATTCCAGCAACTGCAATCTAAATGCCACCAAAAGAGACAGCATTACACTGCTGTAGAAACTATTTCACCACATGCAGCTTCTATGTCTTTAATATTTATAACCTTAAGAAATTAAATTACAATATCACAGGTGAAACTGGTATCATAGACAGAAGAAAGTCAGACATCCAAATACAGAGATATTTTGGAGTATGCTAGAAGGCAATCCATTCCTGAATTACTTGTAAAACATTTAACACAACAGACTCCCTAAAATTTTCTCTCCTCAAAAATTAGGGATTTGGCAAAATTAATCTTATTATTTTAATCAGCTCTGAAAGCCACTACCAAGACAGTCTTATTCTTTCTCTTCCTCTTCTAACCATTTCCTCTTGCTGTGTTAAGCACTCATACTGTAGACATTAAAATGACCTTATATAAAAAGTCAGAGCAGCAATCCAGCTTGTTATGCAACTAAACAGAATGGAAAAGGATGGTGGGAGTAGGGAACCTGTCCTTTGAAGACAGTCTGCATTTTATCAGATCAAGCATACCACAAAACTGCACCCTGCCAAACTAGTGAGAGACCCTTACATTAGACTTGTCTAAGTCAGTATGAGGCAGGTTAGGGAGGGTGAGGCCTTAATTCCTTGAGAATCTTAGGTTAAATTTAACTCATTTTACTGCAAAATAGAAAACTCTGTTAACAACTTCATTGGAAAAACCTACTCTTCATGTATATTCAGCTGTTAAGAGCAACACCACATCCTGTTAGAGGCCTGCAGGTTTCCTCAGTCCTGATTGTCTTCAGTAAAGGTTCACAACAGCAACACTTTTCTTACTGTCTTTTTCATTTAAAGCAAGCTGTTTTCAAAGAGGCTTAGTAAACTGCAGGGCAGAGGAAGTTCTTCCAAGGATGAAACTACATTCAGAGAGCTTTAGCAGATAGTGTTTCTGTAGGCAGACTGAGATTGATGGTTTAAATGGTCAAAACTGGGTTTGCACTTACTTGAGTTTAAATTAAAGACTGTGAGCTTATGAGCTGTCTAGTTGAAATACTTAATTAGGTTATGTATTTACTTACGTCAGTATTTGAAACAGCATTCCAAACACAAAAAAATATTGAAGTTCAGATATATTTAAGGATCAGACAGCCCTGTTTCAGGAGACACCAACTAGTCCTGTCTATTGAATTACATTCACGGTGATTTTTTTTAATTTCCAAGTAAGAATTCAAACTTTTACACTGGGAGATGATATGCAAGCAAGATAAACAGCCAAGGCATTTTCCAGACCAATTCCTTATTTAAAAAAAGAAAACCCTGAAAATAATGGCTTAAGTTCTGGCGAAAGAACTTATGTTCACTCAAAAAAACTGTCACTTCTATTCTAGGATTTTAAACTGTGCCACGTTCAATGGCTTTTCATATATTTTTAGGAAAAAACTGTGGCTGTTATCTTTTTTTTTAAAAACTAACTTTGCACTGATTTTTTCGGAAAAAATACAGGAGCAAAAATGACATCAATGACTACGTGCACTGGAAAGGGCGATGCGCCCGATGATTTACAACTCAATTTCAAAGAGCAAATGGAGAGTTTGGCTGCTGGGAGTCCTACAGGGGAAAGCAGCGGATGCCACGTTAGAAGAGGAAGAACGCTGCATGGAACTACGTTATAAAACTGCTTTTACGCATTAATATATTGCTAACTCATGCAATAACCACAAGGCAAACCTCAGGGCGTTTCACTGCTATTTCTTAAAAGGGTGAAGGGTTTCCTGCGCGTTCCAGCCTCCGCAGGCAGCTTCTGGGCGGGCGCTGCGGGCCGGACCGGGCAGTGCCACGGGCACCGCGGCCGGGCAGGGCCGCGCCGCGGCGCAGGGACACGGGCGGGAGGGCTGCGCATCGACAGCGGTGTCCCCGGCCCGCGGCCCCGGGGCACTCACGAACATTCTCCCGAGACACAGCAGCCACGGGATCCCGCCCACACACGGTGCCCGAGAGCAGATCCACGGCCCTTCCCAGACACGGGAGCGGCCACCTTCCCTCCCGACATCAGGGGAGCGGTGCGCGGGTTCATGGCGGCAGGGCGCGGACAGGAAGGGAAGGGCGCTCTGCCCCGCTCCCACTCACGCCCGGGCTCTCTGTTTGAGGGCCCATACCCGACTCGCAAATCATCCACGCGTTAGCAGGCAGAGGGCTCCGTCGCGCCCCGCACGGGGACGGCAGGTCAGGCCGCTGCGTCCTTCCCTCACCTGGCTTGGCCGGTTTAGGTGGAGGCTTGGACATGGCTGGAGCCGGGCTGAGCGCGGCCGGGGAGAGGCGCGGCGGCGATCGGCTGTGTGCGGGGGGCGGGCGGCCCCTCGGTGCGGGCGGCGGCGCAAACCCCGCTCGGAGCTGCCGGGACGGGCGCGCGGTGGCGGCAGCAGCGCGGAGCGGGGGTGGATCCTTCCGCACTGCCGGCCGCAGGCGCCGCGCCGGCCCCGCGCGGCACGCAGCCAATCGGCGAGCGCGCTGAGGGTGAGGCCCCGCCCCTTCTCCCCGCCGAGGGGGCGGTGAAAGGGGGCGCGCCGCAGGGGTGGGGCTGGGAGGTCTCAGGGGCGCGGCGGCTCCGGGGGCTGGAAGGGAACAGATCCCGATCCCGATCCCGATCCCGATCCCGATCCCGATCCCGATCCCAGGCGTGTGGCTGGAGCACGGTGCGCGCGGAGCCGCCCCTTCTCGGAGGTACGCGCGCCTCGGGCAGTTCCGTGACGGGACGTGAGAGGCGGGCTCTCCGCTCTGGACACGCTCCCAGCGTGGTTAAAGTGAAGTGCGAACCCCGGAGACGCTGAAGTGTCGGAGCTGCTGGGAGAGGCGACGGGCGCGCTGACCCCAGGCCCCCCCGCCAATCCCGGAGTGTGTGTGAGGTTGATGCCCGGGAGAGGCGCTCCCTGCCCGGCTCTGGTGGTGCCTGGAAGGAAGCACTCTTCGGTCCCCGTGCCCGCGAGCTTTGACCCGGTATGCTGTTAAAAATGGGGTGACGGCAGTGCTGCGCTAGCGTTGTCATGAGTTTTTGTTTTATTTAAAGATGCTAAACTGAGGCCAGATAAAGTGGCTTAGGGTTTCTGTGTTGCACCATTGATTTAAAATTTGCTTTTGCAATCTGTGTTATACATTACTCAGAGATCAGAAGAGTTGGTGGGGTTTTTTATGCTAGTGTTTTTTGCCTTAGGCTGGGATTAATTTACATGTAGACAAGGACATAAATTGAAGTCCAAAGCTCAACATATGTGTCCAGTTATTACTTAGTTTGTTACATAGCATCCTTTGCGGGACAAAGGGTAATCCTCTCCAACACAAACCTTACTGATGATTTTTAGAAAAGAGCGGTTTGGTTTTGTTTTTTGGTGGTCGAGTATCATCACTTTCTGAGAACAGATCATCTGTTTTCACTCTTTGCACTGATAGCCAATACCATAAGCATGCAATTGTCTTTGAACTTGAGAATTACATTATGATTAGAAAACCCAAGTGTACTAACTTAAAAAAAACTTGCCAATGCAAGTAGATGTGCAACATCGTTACAAAGCCATTGCTGTCATATGGGTGATGGCTTCACTAGTCGGTATGTCTGTTGTTGTTGGGTTTTTTTCAATATAATAATACATTAAAAAGAACCATGCCAAGATCACATCACAGGCTCGTGAAACAGTTGAACGTCCAGTCACTGCACCAAATGCAAAAGGATGCTATTATTTCAGACTCCATATATGCTTAAAACGTACTTTTCACAGAAATATTGTGTTTTTACTTTCATACTGATGCCCTGGAACAGTCTTTTTTCTAGTATAGTACAGATACTTGTTTATTAGGGTAGGTGAGACAGTTTTGCCTGCTCCATCCTTTCAGGTCTTAGGTGTCATAGACCTTAACTCCCTAAGTGTTACCTAGGAAGACAGAGCAGTTGAAAAAAAGGGTGTTTGTCTGGGGTTAAACAGTTACAAATTGATGTGTGCTTATGGAAAGCAGTGTTTAACAAATGTTAAACTGTTTTGATGAACCAGACTAGTGGTGCTGCCAAGACAAGCAGCCCTGTTGCTGCCAAGGGAACAACCTGTCCTGCTACATCATACCTTTGCAGACGTGTAACTGGATGGTGAACTGGAGGGAATTTGTTCAGCTCAACACAAATATTCTTCCCCACACTCTTTGCAGAACTGTTTTTCAGCTGTGGTCCTTTTCCAGTATAGTTCTCTGCAAACACCTGTTCCAAAAGAAAGTTCAGGGGAAGGAGTTGGGGCAAGACAGGATTGTGTCTTCTGGCAGCTCTGACTACTGAAGGTGTTCAGCCAGCCAGAGCCTCAGGGTTGGTTTCTCGACAGCAACAAGGGTATGGGTGGCTAAATTAGCCTTTATAGTTTCACTCTGATCTTTTCTGGAGAAAACCAAGTGCTACCTAGTCCTTCTCAGTGCTAAATCAGCTAGGATGGCTTAAACAGCCTTTGCACTAGTTTCAATGCATCCAGGTTAATCTGTAGGAGAGGAGGAGTCCTTGTGCGGTCTGTGCTGTTGGTCCCTACAAGAAGGGAGTGGTGAATTACACATTGAATATTACACTGCTGAGACTAGATTCATAGAAGAATCTTTGAAGATACTCTTGGTTATAACTCTTTATGAATTTTTTAAAACATCTTTCTTCTCAGGATGTCACTTGTTTCTTTTTTAATGACTGTGTTTTGCCACCCCAGCCTCTGCTTACCTAGGTTTTTTTATACTGTTAGTAATTGAGCTAGTGACTGTGCTTTTCTTTAAGAACTTGGATGATGTTAATATTTTTAGAACTGGATCTCTCAGAGTTCTTTTCAAATGATTAAAATATGGTCAAAGATAAAGTACATTGAAATTTACAATGTGGCATATGAATTGCAGGTTTTTTGTTAGCATTAGAACCAACAGTTGAGATTCTGACTGTAGCTTTGCAAAAAGAAAAATAATTGACAAAAGGACAGAAAATAAATCGTCTCTATAACTGGTATTTCTGAATATGGCAGCTACTTTCCTTGTTGCTGAATTAAGAGTTTTCACTGTCTTCTGTTTTTGGCAGCAAAAAGGAAGAACTGAGGAGAAAACAAACTATGAAAGTATTGGTTATTGGCCTTGGAGGGTAAGTATTACAAAATTAAATTTCCTCTACAGCTTAAGACTGGTCTTTCTTTCAGAATGAAGTGATATAATTTCTATTTCTGAATATCAATGCTCTTGAAACTGGATTACAAATACAACATATGATGGTATGATTTTACAGCATGTAATTCTTAACAAATTGTTCTATCTCTGTCAGAGGTCTCAGGTACAGGTGCTTCTTTCTTGGCACTGCTAGATTTACTGTCTAAAACCTGTTGGAACATATCAGAAAATTTCTATAGGTAGAGAGTATTTAATGTGAATAAATTTTTGGGGAAGGAGTTGTATTGTTCTGAAGGAGTTGTATTGTTCCTTTACCTATAACTATATAGAAATGTATGTGTGAGCTTGTACATCTAATTAAAAGATTGATTTTTGTCTTGATGAAGTTTTTACAATGTTTTCTAACAGTGTAACAAATGGGGGGAAAACAACGCTAGCAGAAAAGCTTAAGAAAATGCTTCCCAACTGTGATATAATCTCTCAAGATGACTTCTTTAAGGTAACAGTATTTATGGAAAGATCTGATAAGGCTTGAGTAGATTTTAGTATAATTTCTTCTTTTTTCAGTTCTCCTATTGACGAGCTTTTAAAATGGATGCTGCTTAAAGTAACGCTAACTTCATGAGAAGGAGGAATAAAATGAGAACTGGGGTAAATTGAAGTCTCAGTGGCCAAACCACTGAGTATACTCAGCAAAAAGAAGATTACTGTCTTCTTTAATACTCTTTTAAAATAAGGAGCAGGTGTATGTTGGATAGATCTCTTGTGCTAATGAATTTAGTGGTTCTGTGTTAAGCCTACACCCTTACAGCAGTAAGTAGTTCTTTGTCTCCCAAATCAAAGCAGAAAAGCAGCTTGTGTGTTGATGTTGGAGGTGTTTGTTAAGGAGGATTAAGGAGCTCTTATTTCTTAAGTAAAGCTCTAATGAACTTAAGTCATACGCTTTGGAGTATCTGTTGTTCTAGATTAAATAAAGTTTTTGTATTTTAACAGTTGTATATAGCAATTTAATGGTGAAGATAAATTATATTAATTGGGGTAAAAAAGTGTATAATCCCATGTTTATTAGTGAAGTGTATATATCTGTGAGAGTGATCATAAGAGCAGCCTTGAAAAAATTCAATTTTTTCTCCTTTAGCCAGAGTCTGAAGTAGAAACAGATGAACGTGGATTTAAGCTATATGATGGTCAGTAACTCTGAAGTATTGCTTTTGCACATGGTACTGAAATTCTGTTGTGCTGAGCTTCAACACTTCTTCCCCTCCATGCCCTTCTTCCCCTCTAAGCAAGGCACTAAACAAACGTTGTTTCAGAGCAATCCTTTGCTCAATTTCCTTCAGCTCATTGAGAAAACCTGCTTAACTAGTAAATAGCTCAATCTAGTGTTTAACCTTTCCTTTTCTCTTTTTAATCTTTTCCTCTGTTTTTTCACTTGTATCTGGTGCAATAGCAAATGGTACTGTTCAGTTAAGTCTTGGCTTGTAGCACTGGCCTAAGTTTAACCTCATAACTTTCTATGTAATGGATTTTTTTTTTCACTTTGATAAGGAACTCACGGGATATCACTACTGAGTTTTCCAAATCAGTCAAAACTGGAGTCTTAACCTGACACCTTTATTTCATTTCAGATCTCACATAAAGAACAAATGTTTTTAAGTTCATGATTAATGCTGGTTCAATGTGTCAATAAACTTCTAGATCCAGATCTACTTTAGGCCAGTGCTTTGATTCAGGTTACATCTAGTTGTGAACAGTTGCTTAGTGGCTAAATTCTGTTGATACTTGCTGATCACAAAATATGTCACTCAGAACACTAGTCAGACCCTTCCATTGTATCTGAAAAATGATGCTTATGAGCTATGCAGTCTTTGGCTCAACTTGTAAACTTCATGAAAGTGGAATGTGGAACTAGAGAGATAAATTGGACATTCTGGCTCAAATATCCAGGTTTAATGCTGCTCTTAAAAACTTTTAAAAATGTGTTTGCTTTTATGTCATCTGAAGGCTGCCTTCTTTCTGCCTTTCAGTACTTAATATATTCTTGTGTGTCTACAGACAAAAGCAGGTGTTACATTGTGCTGTTTTGCTTTGTGTGCTGTGCTCCTTTAAATCCACTTGTGCCCACCTTCCATACACCTGAACCTCATAAAAACCTGAAGCACAAAATGTTGAGCATCCACTTCATCTATGACAATTGACAGAAAGGTCGAGGTCTCAGGGTAAGTAAGTTTTCACAAGTTTTGTGGAAGAGGAGAACAGTCCCTGCAATTTCTACCCTGAAGCAAAAAGCTATGAAGTGAGTTCACACAACTTTGGGTGTCATGAAGTTCAGAGAGACTTCAGCCACCAGAACTACCCCAATCCTGGTGCAAGCTTTGGTTTCAGGAAATCATCAATTGCAAACATAGGACTACTAATATGCATGAGATAATATTTGAGGTTCAGATTTAAACTGAACTTCCTTTAAACTTGTGTATGGATTATTTGATTCTTACTGATTAACTGAAGGGTACTTAAGGGTTCTTTTTTTTTTCTTTTATTCTCTGTGTTTAAGGGATGTCTAACTTTTTTTTCATCTAGCACTTGATGCCCTCTATATGGATGAAATGGTGACAAAGATTCACAACTGGATAAAAAGCCCAGCAAGCTCAGGGGCTGTGACAGAAGAGCCACAGACTGCATGTGACAATGAGAAAAATATTTATATTTTGATTGTTGAAGGCTTTCTGCTTTACAATTATAAGTAAGCAGTAATATGTAACCTGGTATGTTAAAACTGTCCTAAAATGGAAGAGGGAACTAAATATTTTATTATCTTAGGCCACTTAATGAACTTTGGAATAGAAGATATTTTTTGACCCTTCCTTATGAAGAGTGCAAAAGGAGAAGGAGGTAAGATTGTTCAGTTATTGTTTAACGAGGGTCACTGTACCCCCTCAACTGGAGTAGTCCTTTTGTACTAGCTTTTCTTTGGTGCTTGCCAAATGTAAGCTATTAAGATCATCTGTCCTCTGTTTGGTTTAGATTTGTTTGTTATAGTTTTTATTTTAGACCACAGAGATATCAAAATGTTTAAATGCTTTACAAACACTAAAAAGAGAATTTGTTGTCCTGATAAACTATTTTGATTACTGGTTGTGTATTTGAGTTAAACCATGTTTAAAATGAGAAACAGTAATAAACAGTATATAAGCAGTCTTATTCTTGGTTGAATACAGTTACATGATGATATGTTGTTTTTAAAATAATGATGTTCATGTGTGGTTTTAGTGTATGCTTTGTTTGGAGCAATACATGTGCATAAAGTCAGAATCTGCTGGCTGAGTGAAATAATTCTCTATTCAGCTGGCTTTGGTTGATTCCACTTTCTTGGTTTCTCACTAGACTCACCTTTATAGGAGTTTAGTGTCCAGAATGGAAGTGACTATACCCAACAACTAGTAATTTAAAGCTTAAGAAATCTGTATGTCTAATAAAAAAAAAAGGTAATTTTTTTGCTAAGCTTCAATACAGCTTAATTTATATGTAATACCTTTTTAAATTAAAAAAGCTCCAGCCTTTTACCTTATCTTCCTAAATGTGCTTTGATAGGCAGAAATAGGTAAAATAGCAAAAATTTGTATCACACGGATTGAATTTAAACAAAGAAGCCTCCTTTGCTCCAATACTTATGCAGCCTACTAGCTCTTATTTTTTTATTTTGGATAAAAGGTGTTATTAAACCAGCTGACAGTAGGGGAAAATGTAAAACTGGTATGGAAAAGCAGATATATTTTTGTGTAGCACCAGAGTCTATCAGCCAGCAGATACTCCGGGGTACTTCGATGGACACGTGTGGCCTATGTATCTGAAATATAAAAATGAATTGGAAGAGAATGCAAGTATGCAAGTTGGTATGGTATCCTTAATCTTAAACTTGTAAAATGCTTAAGTGTGGCACTTGTGCAGTTTTTGTTGAGATGTGGGGTTTTATAAATGGGACAAAATTTTCCTCAGTTTTTGTAGCACTTAGTAGGCTTTGACTATTTTATTGGTTTATATTCCAAGTCTTTGGGAGTTTTGTTTTTGTTTTTTTAATAATGAAAATTATGAAGTTAAAAAATAGAAATGTTTGGATCACTAATTAAGTCCACTTAACAAGGTAGCTTGTTAAGAAAACACACATATGTCTAAACAGGAAGCTTCTGAGACAATAGCTTACGTAGTGGCAGAATTCTTCAAAACCAAATTGATATCCTGGTTGAAGTTCTATAATAAACTGAAGATACTTTCTAGGTGCTGACTGTACACAGTATAGTCACCAGTTTTGCATGAGAAGTATCAAAGCTGGGCCACCTGGTAGGGCAGTGCCATGAGCTTGTGTAATGTTCACAGTTGTACAGCTCTTAGACTGCCTCCTTCTGGAGGGGGGACCAGAGGGAAGGGAAGGTGGGTGGCTGCTCAGTCCACACTCTACTTTTCACTGTGGAGTGAGAATGGGAACTGAAGTGCTGTTCCTGGACTTGCTCAAATACTGATGCTGAGGAACCTGAAGTCTTCCACTGCACAGAAACCTTTCTGCTGAATTATTCTATTGCTCTGCTGTCCTAACATTATTACTATTACCCTTATGGAAACTTCTATAACACAAAAAATTCTACATGAATTATTAACTAGAATACTTTTTCATTATGCTATTTCTTAATATGTAAAATTAATTTGTAAAAGAAGAAAAGGGGAGATGCTGCTCTTGGTTTTTATTTTTTCATCTCTTCTGATGGCATCTATAGGAATCCTGAAGACTTTGCCAATTGGTATTACAGATAGCTGGCATAGAACTCATGAAAACTTTTTCTTTCGTCTTCCTCAGTTTATTTGGATGGAACAAAATCCCAAGAGGAGCTTTTATCCTATGTGTATAGTGACATAATGCAGGAATTAAACAAGCTGAGGGAAGAAAGTAAGTAACGCTACTGGAAATTGAATCTGCGTGTCCCATTCCGTGTTAACAAGAAGCTGATCCTTTTATATGAAAGTACTACAAGGATATGTATATATTATACCTCTTTATGTATTACAGTCCCATGTTTGCCCATTACTCCAAGTCAATCTAAATTATAATTATGTTCCTTGAAATTGGATGTTCTAAAATAATAGTTGAATCCACAATTATCTAATGATAAAATAACAATAAAATAGGGGGAACAGGAGGAATATGGGGTAAAACATCAGTGAAAACAAATGTGTTGGTAATATTAGTTTCTAATGTACAGTGATGTCACTTGCAAACACTACAGGTTAAATGTGTACTTTTTATTTATTTTAGATCAGCAGGTCACAGCATGATAATGTAGAAAGCCTGGGTCCCATTTGACACGAATTGAAAACAAGACTGTCATGTTTGGCAAGCCAACCAACTGAGCAAATGTTATGTGCGTGACTGAAATGCTAGTTCATACAACACAAGTGTTTTTGTACTAACTATTCACTCTGTAAGTCTCAAATATTGTTTATTAGGATCAACAGTGCATTCTTTATAATTCGTTTAATCAGTCATACTTTGGCTTTAAATCTCATTGAATGGGTACCTTTGAAAGAACATAAAGATTTTTATCTACAAAACTAAACTACAAAGATGCAGTTCTGTCGGATAAATAAGCACATTTGAACATGGATGTTTGCAGTTTGAAATGATCATTTAGGAATGACAGTGATTGTCTCTAATAATTTTAGGAGCTTATAATCACTGGTATATACATGGTTAGAAGAACTGTGTAATTTAAGACTGTATAAGTTGTTACGCTACTTTTTCAAGAATGGTATACATCATAGCTGAACTCAGACTTGCTAAATACCTCTCTGGTGTTTGCAAAGCAATTTCTATGTTGTGTATTGTTTGGGGCAGTTGGGAATGGATATTAAAAAAAATTAAACAAACCTGGAGAGAAGTCAAAATATTGGAAAAAGATGGGGGAATAAGATGTAGAGAATGCAGATGCATCATTAACAAAATATAATGCGTATGTTATGCAGATTGATGATTGGGATGGCACAGACTACTAGACAGTAAATGCATGTTTCAGGGGGAAGGAAGAAGGAATTCATATTAGTATTCATAGCTCAGATTGAAACTGAAATAATTAAAATGTTCAGAAAGCAGGTATGCTAAACAAATGTGAAAGCTTTGTTATAGAATTTGTGTACATACATTTAGATAAATTAGGAAATGGAGTTAGTTGGGTCATATGTTGTTCCTGAATAATTTCTTAATTCTTATATTTTCTGTACAATATCTTACATTTTTATCAGCTGGAATAAAACTAAAGCTATGGACATGAAAAGCAAAGGATGGACTATCCTTCTTACTGTATCACAGCTGAACTGACGAGTGATTAAAATGTGACGCTTTATTGTAACAGTACTGAGTCAGTGTATAAGAAGAAGGTGTTAACAGGTTAGAGCTGTATTTAGGTGTGTTTAAGACAAAGTGCTTCCAAATATAATTTTGTATTATTATTATTTTGTACTAAAAATATTTCATGCTGCATTTGCTTATATGCTGTGATGGACTGTCTGACTTTAAACTGTATTTTTGTTTTTATTTCTCTTTGGAAAGGGTGTAACTAGGAGAGATTAGCTAAAACCTGGATGGTTGTGCGAGGCTGTCCTTGGCTAGCCACCAGGTGTTCCCTCAACTATACAAGTGAAAAAAATACAGTGAATAGCTCATGAGTCAAGATAAGGACAGGAAGATTGCTCAGCAGTTACAGTCACAGGCACAACAGATTTGACCTGGGGAAATCAATTTATTGCCAATCAAATCAGAGTAGGATAATAAGAAATAAGAACAAATCTTAGAACACCTTCCCCCCACCCCTCCCTTATTCCTGGGCTTGACTTCCCTCATAAGTTCTCTACTTCCTCTTTCCCAGAGTGCAGGGGGATGGGGAATGGAGGTTGTGGTCTGCTCATGGGATACTGGCTCTACCACTCCTTCCTCCTCACAGTCTTCTGCTGCTTCAGAGTGGGGTCCCACCCATCGGAGCCAGTCTTCAACATCCACCTGCTCTTGCATGGTGATTCAGAGGAGGTAATGAACAATTTTATCACCCAAGTTTGCAGATCATACTAAGCTTTCTGAAGTAGTCCAACACTGGTGCAGTGGCAAGGAGTTCAGTTGTGCAAGATCCTCCCCTAGGCAAAAGTGATAGATGAGCTCCAGTACAGATCTAAGCATTTGTGGTATAAATTATTATCAAAATATACATGGCACTGAACTTGTACTTCAGCAGCTTATAATAAGAGCTCAAGGTAGAGATCTTTCACAATTCTTCTGTAACCATGACACAGTTTGGACTTCCATCAATTTTTTTTTTTTTTTTTTAAATATAAAAAAGCCAGGTGCTGCTACTTTTCTCCCTTGTAAGACTGGTGGACACAGATTTTCACTGCTGGGCAGTTGCAGTTTCTATATTTAGAGGAAGTCCATTGTGGAGTTAAAAGAAGGGCAGCTGATCAAGGGAATGAAGAAGCTGCTTTGTGAGGAGAGACTGAAAATGCTGGGACCCTTCACTGTGGAAGGGGAAGACTGAGGGGTAAAAGGGTCAAGATTGACAAAATCTTGAAAGCTGAGTCAAAGGGATGCAGAACTAGTATTCACCAAATTGTACAAATACTAGTCTGGGTGGCACTTCTGCATTTGAAACAGATTGACCAGTTATATTAAGGTGATATTTCACACAGATAAAGATGATACTTCATGCAGCAGACACTGAGCTTCTGAGATGTAAGGCCATAGGAGGCAGATAGTACCAGCAAGTTCAAAGCGGATTTTGAAGATTCATTGACACCTCACCCATAAAAAATAGTAAAAGAAACAAGAAGGGCTATATCAGGGATGGACTGTAGAAAATGACCAGGCTCACCGGGTGTACCTAAATTCTGTGCTCTTGCCAGTTACTACAGCAACTCAGTGGGGAAAAAATAATCAATGAATATGCAAGGATCATTGAGTCCAACCCTTAGTTCTGCACAGGACCATTTCCAAGAGTCACACCATGTGCCTGAGTGTGTCATCCAGATGCTTCTTGGAATCTTGTCAGGCTTGGTGCTGTGACCACTTCCCTGGGGACCCTGTTCCAGCACCCAACCACCCTCTGGATGAAGAATTTTTTTCTAATATCTAATTTAAACCTCCCCTGGCCATTCCTTGGGTCCAGTCACTGGTCACCACAGAGGAGAGATCAGGGCCTGCCCCTCCTCTTCCCCTCAGGAGGAAGTTGTAACTGCAATGAGGTCTCTTCTCAGTTTCCCCTTCTCCAGGCTGAACACCCCAAGTGACCTCAGCTACTCCTGATAAGGCTTCCCCTCAAGGCCCTTCACCATCTCCGTTGCTCTCCTTTGGACACTCTCTAATGGCTTAATATCTTTCCTATATCGTGGTGCCCAAAACTGCCACAATATGCAAGGTGAGGCCACCCCAGTGCACAGCAGAGCAGGACAATCCCCTCCCTCGACCAGCTGGGGATGCTTTGCCTGATGCCCCACAGGACATGGTTGGCCCTCCTGGCTGCCAGGGCACTGCTGACTCATATTCAACTGGCCATCAACCACGACCCCCAGGTCCCTTTCCACGGCACTGCTTTCCAGCTTCTCATTCCCCAGTCTGTACCAACATCCAGGGGTCCCATTCCAGGCGCAGAATCCCGCACTTTCCTTGTTGAACTTCATATGGCTGATGATTGCCCAGTCCTCTCATTTGTTCAGGTCTCTCTGCAGGGCTTCCCTACCTTCAAGGGCGTCCCAACAGCTCCTCCCAATTTTGTGTCATCTGCAAACTTGCTTAGCATCCCTTCCAGTCCTGTGTCCAAGTCATTTAGGAAGATGTTGAAGAGCTCAGGTTCTGAGCTGGAGCCCTGTGTAACCCAGCTAGTGACAGGTCACCAGTCTGATGTTACCTCATTCAACATTACCCTCTGTGCGTGACCCATGAGCCAATTGCTCACCCCCAGCATGACGTGTTTATCCAGCTGTGGGCTGGATATTTTGTCCAGAAGGATCTTTGAGAGACAATATTGAAAGCTTTACTGAAATCCAAGAGATTACATGAACTGGCTTCCCCTGATCAACTAGGTGGGTTATCTTATCATGAAAGGAAATAAAGTTTGATAATACTATGCTTTCATGTGTTTTTCAATACCTCTCCATATATTTATCAGGCACTGAAGTGAGAATGAACTTCTAAGTCTATTTGGGGATAAAAATATTTCAGGTGCTGTTACAAAAGCTTAGAGAACTTCCCTGCAACATTGGCATGTTGGCAAAATGCTTTTGCTTTAACCGTAGTGCAGCCCCTGACAGGAAAACTCTAGTTTGCCCTTGGCAAATGCAGTTTGATTAGCAGGGCTGTGCTATCCGTGAAGCTGTGGCTGGGGAGAGCTGCATGTCAGAAGCCTGTGGTTCTTCATGTCACTTCCTGCTGGCAGCAATTTCAGGCTGTCACAGCTGAAAGCAAGCTTTGCTAAGTGTCTTGCATATGTTCAGAAACACTGCAGCAATAGAAGTGGTGGTGGTCTATAGAAGGCAAATGGCTTATATATAAGAAGTGCAGAAATGCCAGTACGTGACTAGTTTGATATTTAGGTGATTTCCTCATATCAAAATAACAGAGAGAACATGACAATGTACTAGTCAAAAACAGCAGGTAGCAGGTACAAACGTTTTATCTTGCAGAGTTATTGATCCTGCCTTAACCTTCAAAGTTGAAAAGCTGAATTTCTGTTTAGCCTGTGTATCATTGATTTAGATGTTGGTTTTATCACATACAAGGTGCTTCCTAATGTACAAAACCAGTAATGTGCTCTTGGGAACAACTCCTTTGTCCATCAAACTAAATATGATGTCTGTGCTTTCTCTCTGGCACTGCCACTGAACACAGTGTCCAGTGATATCCAGTGTCCCATCAGTTAATGGAGTTGCAAGAGAGTAGGAGTAGTGTTAGGGTAAGGAATACTGGAAAACATTGAAAGTAAAGTGAGAGTATTTCTGTTAGGAGGCTGATTCTCCTATTTCTACAGAGGGTGAGGTAGGGCATGCTCTTCAGCATCTCAAACTGGGGATGGGCCCTTACAAATGAGGCCCTGGGGATCAGCCACCTCTTCTCAAAGCAGTTTGGAAAGGCATATAGTGACTTGCTGCAGGATACAGGATGTCTGCATCCAGTGAAACAAGTTTTGTCAGGTGGAAGGGGGATGGGTTTACGTGTCCTCAGGGCCAAGGTGTGTTGTGGGCAGAAATTTAGTACCTAGCGACTCATGCAAGGCAGTTAAACGTGCCTCCTCACTCTTCCCTCCCCACAGCTGGTCCTTGCGTTTCCTTCTAGGAAACATAATCCGGCTTTAGTCTGGCGCGGAGGTTATTCCAAAGTACTGCCTCGTCTCAGCACAGCTGCCTGCTCGGCGGGGCTGGATGCGTGCCTTACCACAGCCTGCTGCAGGCACCAGGCGGAGAGCTGGGCTTTGACTGCTGCAACGGGACTTATCTAAGTAAGGGAGGACTCCGAGGGGCGCCTCCGCGTCGGGCACGAGAGAGAGTGCTTTGGCGTCCCTGCCGCCTTGGGGCAGCCCCGCCGGGCGGTTCCTCACACGGCCGGTGAGGTGAGGGCAGGGCCGCCCGGCCCGCTCTGCCGCCCACAGCGAGCGCCGGGCCGGGAGCTCCTCCCGGGGCACGCCCCGCCCCCCCCGCCCCTCTTCTCGCGATATTGCTGCCTGCGCCGAGCGGCCGGCGCGCGCCGCAAGGGGGTTGGGGCGCGTGCGCGGCGGTCGCGGTCGCGGTCGCGCGCAGGGGATGTCGGCCACGTGCGCCGCGTGCCGGAAAGCGCGGTCGGCGCCGCTCCGGGCCCGGGGGGAGCCGCCCGCCAAGGCGATGCGCAGGGCCCTGCGGGGCGGCCGCGACCGGCACCGGGAGCCGCGGCCCTGGCCGGGAGACAGCGCCGAGCCCGACGGGGAGCAGGCGGCCCCGCTCGGGGACGAGCGGCGGAGGCGGCGGCCGCTGGAGCCGAGGGCGCTGGCGGCCAGGGAGGAGGAGGAGGAACGTCTGGAACGGGAGCATTTCCGGAGGATCATCAACGCCTTCCGATACTACGGGTAACGAGAGCTGACCCCCTGCGCCGTGCCGGCGGGCGGCCCCGGCTCCTGGGCGGCCCCGCGGGTCGGGGCGGTGCCGCAGCTCCCGGGCACGGCGCTCCCCGTGCGCTCCGCGCTCCTGCCCCGCTCCGTGCCGCGGTCGGGCACGGCAGCCCAGGCGGGGAGGGCTCCTGCGCCGCTTACCTCTCCGGATACGCTCTAAGTCGCTTTGGTACCTGTCAGTTCGGAAGCATTAAAGAAAGCACGAAACCTGAAGGGGTGTGAAAGATCTCTTAGGGGATAAAATACTCTAAGATACTGTAAAGCCTTCAGAACGACAATTGTTCGTGCTGGCAAAGAAATGCAAGTGGTGTTTCAGTTATTGCGGAAACTTTTGAAAGACGTTTTAATTTGCACAAGAGATAAGGGCTAATGGGTACCATTTTTAATAACATCTGTTGAGTTAGAAGAGGGCTTACAACCCCATATAAATTAAATAAATCTAACTTTATAATTGCATCCATTGAATAGAAGAGGAAACAAATTACTTAAATAGCACGGTGGTGGAGAATGGCTGAAAAAGTCCAGTAATCTTCACTATTTTTGTAAAATGATTCCTGTTTTTAGGTTTGAGAAGCAGATTTGGAATGTAGCAACACTGTATATCTCTGTACTTCAGTTGACCAAGCCCCATCATGTGACTTATTAGTAGGTTTTGAACCCTTTTTGTCACAAGAGTAATTTTTACACGATAGTGAAGTCCTTGATAAGAGTGGGTGATATTTATGTAATTCCTCTGTCTGAGGTTTTCCTGTCTTGGGTATTATTTGTTTTCTGGGATTAGTGGTTGAGCGGGAGGTTGGTCTAGATGATACTTTAGTGTTTCTTCCAAAGTGAATTCTCTAATTCATTTTGGACGTATCAAAGACTTAGTTAAAAATATCTGATACTAATGGCTATTAACACAAAAAATTAGACTCCCCGGGTAGATGGAGCTCGTTAGCCCTGTAAAGTCAATCCATCTACGTCCTAAGGACCTCGCTGCCACCGTCCAAGCTCGCTTGGCCCCGGCAGATGAACCTTAGGATTAAAGGGTGGGCTCAGTTCCGCGCACACTGTGTCTCACCTAAAAAATCCAATGCGCAGGCTGGAAGGTGTAAAGACCTTCCCCGGATCTTCGCTCGCGAAGACTGGCCATTATTATTATTATTATTATGTAATTTTGTTCTCAGGCCTCACAAGCTGAGGACATCATTCTCAACCTCATGCTGAACTGTGGCTCTGGATTGCTTTTGAATGCTTGTTTCAGTAAATACATAAGAAAAAGATGAAACCTAAATTTCCAATACAGAAGTTCAATTAAATTACCTCCGTCTCAAAGAAATAACTCCGAATGTAGGTGAAATTACGTATCTCAGTAGTTTAAAATAATTGGAATCTTTGATTACATACAGATGTTTATTAATTGGAAATATCTGTATGAATAAGGCAATAACACACTTTCAGATGAGCCCAGATCTTGTTCTTGTCGTCTTGAGAGAAACAGACTTAACTTCATTATTTGTAGTTCTGATTTGAGTGAATTATTAATTTTGCTAGATGGTTGCAATTAACATGAAAGGGTAGAGAATTAGGTTCAAAGATTTTTTTTTTCTGATGAAGCATTCAAGAAGATGATGTTAAGCTAAGCTGATATGCTCTGTGTAGAGAATCAGTTTATTTTTCTGTTGTTTCTTAATGTAATTTTAAACCACTATAGCTGTTGTAGTGAGAAAGCCCTTCTAAGTAACATGTGAATGAGATACTAACTGGTCAAATTTCAAGACTGAGGTTGCAACTAAAATTGCTGCAGTTGCACCTTACTCTCACTGATTGCTAGTTTTCAACTTTATATGGCTTTATGCTGACACAAGAGTTTGGGAAACTGCAGTATGGCTTGTCCAGCCTAAATGATTTGGTGGACAAAAGGGGCAGTGTCTCTTAGCCTGGCTTTATGACTGTGCTCAGCAACTAGGCTTCTGTCAGTTTAGACAGAAGTCAAATCTAGAAAACTCTAGCAGAATTTTGGAAGATTCACCGTGTTTGTGAAACTTTTATCTTGGAGACGTGGAAGAGGTATTTTTAGCTTGCATCTGTTCCATGATCAAATTCACAGTACTCATACTTAAGGGAATGTGCTGTTAAAAGGAGGTAGTTTAGTATCTTAGTGTGGTTGCCAGAACTCTGGTATGGTCCAGCTATGACTTCTGCAGTTCTTTCAGAAGCAGCTGATTTTGAAGATCCCAATTCCCACTTCATCTTGTTATTTCTGTAACCAAAGTTTACCACTGTATCCAGCTATTCATTCAATTTAATTTGGATTTGTGAAACAATCTTGGAGTTGGTTGTTTGTTAAATTTTGTAGATCCATGGATTAAGGTAGTGATTATCTGCTCTGGAAATGAGTGACTAATGATGAAACTAAGTCCTATTAAGGATTTTTAACATGTTAAAAAGAGTGATAATGTAGAACTAGAGCTTAAAATTTTTGCCTAAAAAAATTCTTGAAAACTTGTTCTCTTGTAAAGAATTACAAAGTCGGGTCACTTTCTGTGTATAACAAAGTGAATAATTGTCATTGGAATAGCTTACGGTGAATTATTTACATGTAATGTGTGTATTGGTTCTAAATATATAAAACTTTTGCTTTTTAGAACGAATATGCATGAACGAGTGAACAGAACAGAGAGGCAGTTTAAGTCTCTGCCAGCTAACCAACAGAGTCTTCTTCCGCAATTTCTTCCTCACCTTGACAAGATTCGGAAGTGCATTGATCATAATCAAGAGATACTACAGACCATTGTGAATGACTGCGTTCACATGTTTGAAAATAAAGAATATGGAGAAGACGTATGTGAAAATGGACTTTTTCTTGATACAAAACTAAAGTCTGTATGCTTTGGGATTTTCTACATTTGTTTTTCACACCTCTAGGCCTCCAACTTTCTTTCCTTTTGCCTTTATTTTCTCATTTTGTGTTTCTTGCTTGCTTACACTTTTCTCACTCTTTCATGTTTTGCTAAGCTGATGCTTACTAAAGCTCTTTCTTGTTAGTTCTTTTAGTTACACTTAGGAAAACTAACTGTGAATCTGGCAAATGTTTGTAAAAAGGTATTTTTCACTGTGGAGTTCTACCTTTGCTCTGCTTACATTTTAAAGTTGGTTTTTTTCCATTAACTGTGTAGAACAGAAATGATATTGTCTGTCTTACTGTAGGTTATTATACGTTACGGCATTGTGAATTGGTTGCAATTTTACAAAGGCCAAGTATTTTTAATGTTTTTATTGGTAAGCACTTTTTTACTTGACCTGATTTTTTAGTGTGGTGCCTCTGTCAAGTAAAATGGCTCTCAGACTTAAAAGACTGACAGAGATGGAAACTGAAGTCCTTTTTGGTATCGGCAGACAAGACTCAGTAATGGGCAACTCTAAAGCTTTTTAGTGTTGCTATACCAGTACCTAAAGGGATCCTCTTCTCAGGGTAACCAGTTCAGCTTCTGCACTAGCTTGGTCCTGGTCCTTTCTTGAGTGAGGACTACCAATTTGCTTTGCTATGCCATACCGTGTTTTTTTTTTCTGATGTGGAAACTGGTCTCTTGGATTCCAAATGGAGACAGCAAACTCAGATTTTTTTAGGATATTAAGGTGTATTTGACCTCTGGTCCCAGGAATGAAAGGCAAGTATTGTAGTTTTGTCAGCTAAAACTCCTAACAGCTGTTACATCATGGCATTTTTCTGTTTATAATTTATTTTTTTTTTCCCCCAAGATTTAAAAGACTTTGTACATTTTCCACTAACTTGTTTTTTTTCCATACGTTAATCAGGGAAGCGGGAAGATTACACCAGCTTCAACATTTGACATGGATAAATTAAAGTCCACATTGAAACAATTTGTGAGAGACTGGAGTGAAGAGGGAAAGTCTGAGAGAGATTCCTGCTACCAGCCAATCATTAGTGAAATTGTAAAGAACTTTCCAAAAGACAGATGGTAATAGTGTCTTAAACTTATATTTATGTGGAGATACACTGTTGCACAAATCTAACAAAGTTTTTGTGGAGTAAAGAAAATCTTGTTTTCAAAATATAGGAATTTTTATGAACACAGTGGAATTTATTTTTTAATCAAGAAAGTTTTTATTTTTAATACAAGGTGTTGAAAAAGACCATATTAATAAACTTCACAAAGTAATACCAGGTAAATCAGGAATAGTGTTTTGTTGTTGTTCTGCAGCTTGGTGTAACAGAATATATGTAACCTTTCAAGTAAAAGACTTCAAGAGTGTGTGAAGTTAACTCAGTTGTTAGCAGTCAGTTAGCAGATTATCAAAGGGTGTGTGCTACAGATAAAAGCGAGAACCCTTGTGACAGCAGGAAGTATCATCATGGAAGGAAGGAATACTCTTAACCTCTAGTACAGTTGCAATAAGAATTTACTCTGAAAATAGTAAATTCTAGCCTTGGTTTCAAACAGGTGTTACAAGACAATTCTTAAAAAAACTTTACTGTATGTATGAGGGTAACTTTATAACTGTATTGGCTTGTTAACCCTGTTAAATAGTTGTTGATGCAGGTAAGTACATTTTAGGTAGAACTTAACAGTCTTAAATTTAGAATATATGAGAACTTTCTATTCACAAATGTAACAAGCCACAACTTAGATTTGATATAGGTGGGTATTACTGTGTTTTTTTTTCTCTCTCAGTAAATGTTAATAATGCACTAGTAAAAATTTGGAAAATTTCTCCTACTAGCCATCTTTTAGTTTCATTAGTGAAGACTCTTTGTGATGGCAGAACACAGAGTGGATGTGGTTGATTTGTATTTTGCTTTGGACTGACTTAAGATAGAAAATGTTTTATCTGAAAGTGAACTTTGCAATGCTTTTAGTGCTAATAGTGCCCTACATAAGATAAAAGTGAGTTAAATACTGCAGGTTACTTGGTGCATCTCTGATGTGTGGGTCTGTAGGAAAACTCATAGTTAGGTAGCAGTTCACCTTTTTCTCTTGTATGCTAGCCTTTGATGGATTTTGGTTGTGAGAGAGATAGCTTATGTCAGATCTTAAAAGATCCATGACTGAGGCTGAAAAATCTTCACTTTTACATTTGTCATCAATGAACTCTATTTCAAAACCTCTAGTATATATTAGGAAGCAGCATGTGGTAACAGATTGGGTGAATCTGAAGTTGGTAGTTTTGTTCTTCTTTACCAGGAGTTCTGGTGGTGGTCAAACAGAACTAATGTGACAGAGCATGTGTCCCTATTATGGTGGCTTTGAAATACCATTTGAGTTTATTTTGTCTCTGCCAAAATCTCAATACATCACTGTATAGATCAGACATCTCTACTACAAGCTTGAGTTTGTTAAACCAAGTGGTGTTTTTTTTTAAATTTATAAAATATGTGTTAAATAAATACATATTTAAAAGTTTAATACTCATTATCACTATAGACCTGTTGTAGCACTTGTGCAAAACCTTTTCTCTCTTCACATATTCTTGGCTACTGTCTAGCTCATTTTTTTTCCTAGTGACCAAAGGCACTCTTCTACTTAGGTGTACTTACCTCTTTGAGGCAAGAAGCAGAATCATGTACTATCAGGCTCAACTGGCAGTGCTTGGCAGGGCATGCTAGCTAGTCTGTCTGGTATACAATTTTATACAAACTTCACTCTTGTCCCCAGTGACAGGACTTGAGGAAATGGCATGAAACTGAGTCACGGAAGGTTTAGGTTGGGTATCAGGAAAAAGTTATTCACCCAAAGGATGGCTGAGCACTGGAACAGGCTGCCCAGGGAAGTGGTCACAGCACCAAGCCTGTCTGAGTTCAAGAAGTGTTTTGACAATATTCTCAGGCACATGGTGGGATTCTTGGGGTGTCCTGTGCAGGGCCAGGAGTTGGTCTTGATGATCCTGACGGGTCTTTTCCAACTTAGCGTATACTCTGATTTTATGATTTTGGAGCATAGCGGGTTTTTCAGTTTGAAAGGATGGATAGGGCCCGAACTAACCATAGTGAGTTATTCTGTCTGTTGTTTATAGTGGAAGAGGATTAACTGTGGACACCAGTGTGTGAAAACAGCTTGTAGGTGAACCTCAGAGTTCAGCTTTGCATTTCTTTAGAGTTCTCTTTTGTGCTGAAGTCTCCTGAGATGATGAAATGAAAGTGCTATAGAAAAAGTGCATTGATGACACTGGGTGATGAAAACAACTTTTTCTAGGTGTATTTTGCATTAAAAATTATAAAGAAATAAATATTTTAAATTTAAAACTGTCAATGGAAGTCACCTTTTACTTTGTAAAAGGAATTGTATTACACATCAAATTTGTAATGTGCAGTGGAATGGTACATGCAGTTTCTAGTAAACATAATTTGATAACATTATTGAGTCCATGCATTGGAATTGTGTGAAAAAGGAGTTCAGATTTTTGAAACTATTAAAGTATATTTAATTCTGTGCATGCACATGTTGTAGTATGCTCTTCTTTGGAAGACTGACCTGTATGGGCTCAGTTGGTATGTAAAGAACAGGAAAAGGAGTGAAGTACTGTATATGCTTGCTCTTCTGGGAAGTAGAAGAAATACAAGCAACGGTTGAAAGTAGCTGTAAATTACAACAGTCTGAGGAAGTGCTAGTTATCCTGTGTTTCAGTCTAGTCTTCTGATAAGACTGTCATCTAAAAATAAAATACATGGCCAGAGCTGTTCCTGCCTCTTATTCCTCCTCAGAAATAATTCCTTCTTTCTTCTTAGCAGAATCTGTTAGTAGAATCAACCAAGCATTTTTAAGTGGAGCCCCATGAGATTAGGTCTTCCTGAAGAACTCAGAGATTTCCTGTATTATTCATTTTGGGATTTAATTGTGTTTCAGCTCACAGGTGCTCTGTAGTATTTAGATTTCTTGTATTTCTTCAATCTGAATGAGCTGTGATCACTGCTTTCTGAAGGAGGAAATAGTAAAACATAGATACATTTGTATTTCTTGATGAAATGTGTTTGTTAAAGCATTTTTGCAGGGAAGCATAATTAAATAAGCATACTGATACATTTTTTCCGATTCCCCTTTTTTCTGCCATCTTTGTTTCCTATCACTTCTACTATTGCTACTCTTCCTGTTAAAGTGAAAGGATATAAATGTCATCAGCTTCTTTTCCAAAAGAAATCTACGAAATAGTTAACCTTTTTGTTAATTATCATTCCATGGCCAAGAACAGTATACTTAGACATTTTTTCCATTGTTTGCTTCTCATTAATGTGGTCTCTGGACTCAGCTATAATTTGAAATTTATCTTTGTTATACTGTCCAGCAATCAATTGCATTTTCCAAGGTGCTGGCAGAACAGCCCAAAAGAGATCACCAGAACTCAGTTTCTTTTCTATATGAAAAGCAGGTTATTGGTCCTGAGCTTGGTTATACTTCTTGAATGTGCTCAGTCACAGAGTTGAAATTTCTGCTTTATTTGAATTTTATTTAACTTTATATAAAATACAGCTGTCCTTGGAGATTTTCATACTTAGCTTAAACTTTTCTTTAAACATTGGACTTAAGAGCAAACTGTATTGTTAGTGTTACTGCAGTCCACTGAGTGCTTTGCAGATCTTTACATGAAAGTATGTAAAACTCAGCTGCTAAGGTTGAGAAGAACTGGTCTTCAAATTATTGTACTATTTAGTGTTTGTCTTTAAAAAGTCTCTGAAAATATGACTGAAGTAAAATAACGAAAACCCTGTGCTGAGAATTGGATCTAAATATACAGACATTGTAAACACCAGGAAAGGATTCCCAGAGTGTGGTTTGTTTTGATATTTCTGTTGATCATAAGCCCATCTCTGTATGGGATGTGTATTTATCACTTCTTTTCATTACATAAATTGAACTGCAGTGAAAATGAGTTTTGTGTTTCATCAGACACACTAGTTTTTCTTTTGCTGAGCATGTCTACCACTTTATCACCATTATTTTTGGTTACAGCAAAATAGGCATGAAATAAGCCTCTGTTTTAATCATGTTTAATGTTTCCTGTTAAAAAAATGCACACCTCTAAAAAGTTAAAATCTTCCTTAATATCCTTAGACTTTTTAAAGCTGAAAATATATCACACTGCAAAATGCAGTACAAAAATGGCATGACAGATTTTGATTGTTTCTGATATTTCTCCAATATCTTTTTTGAGAGACTTCTGCAGTTTCAGTGGTTGAGCCAAGCAGAACCATGCATCCCTCTTCCCTGCTTTCCCTGCCCTTTGGCCAGTCTTGTCTCCCCATACCTGCCAAGTTAATAGGCTAATGTTTCTTCCCTACTGGACCACAATTATTTTTTAGTGGGTACTTTTTGGATACCCATTTGTGTTCCTAACTGCTGCTAGATGTGTCATAGAAATCCTGCTGCTGCTGACTGGTTCAAGGCTAGTTTTCACTATGGAGAACTTTGGGTTATTATATTATTGCAGGTTTTGATTTTTTTTTTTTTTTTTGGTAATTGTCTTAGCTACTGCTGCAATCACATATCCACCAAAGGAAAGCATGTTTTTTTCTGACCTGTTGAAGGACTGTGGCTATTAAAAAAGCAGTTTCTGTGCAATTAAAGATTTTTAGCTATTATCATGATTCAAAATTCAGCGTAGCATAGTGCACTGGGGTGCTTCTGTACCACTGCTTTCATACCTTAATTTTTTTTTAATTCACTAACAATTTGTCACAAACAATTTTTTAAATGTCTTGAAAAGAAATAGGTATTTGACCTTTTTTTTCTGAAAACAGGACATTATCAACAGTCACTTCTTGCTATGCAGTCAGTTTGCCACATACCTAATTTCTCCGACTATAAATTTTAAAAAATGCTCTTGGACTGTTTTGGAAGGCTAGTTCAATGTTAGTGGTGACCAAACTGAGATTTGGCTATATTGTATTTTATTAGCTGTGCTCTGTAGGCTGAAATGAAGTTGACGGCCAGGGCCAGTGTCTGGCATAAAGAGTATAGGTAGAAATTAAATTGCTAACAAATTTCCAGACAGGCTTGAATCCCTTAATAAAAGTACAAATGAAAGTTTAGTTAAGACTGCACATAAAAATACAATAGAAAACTATTCACTAAGAAAGAATTGGGAAAACTAGTTTAGAAATACAAAACCTTTATATTGTGAATGAAAAGATACAAGACAATTAGAAGCAATTCAAAATCAATTCACTTAACTGCTAAAGTATTTCTCTTGTTTTAGGATGCATAAAGGTGCAGATTTCAAAATATGAATACACCTGCATTATTAGGTTGTTTTAAGAAAAGTGTTTTTTTCTAATCAATGTATCATAAAAGTGGCTTAAGGCTTTTCAACCCATTCATTGTAGAAGTGTCCACATGGGTGTGCTAAAAATCTGTGTAGAGCTAGTCTAAATATTCCATGAATAAAGTGAAATTGTAAGGAAATGAAGAAATAGATGAGGTTAGAAATACGTTTAGAATTATGGTGTATCACTATGAACAGGAAAACCTTTACAACTGAGGCTTTTCTGGCTTCTTCTGGAAAGCACATTTTCTTCTTCCTTCTTCTAGTTCCGTGTTTTCCAAAGTCTTGTTTTGAGCATGTAGTTTTCTCATGAATTAATCTTTTGTTTTTCTTTTTTTTTTCAGTAGGACTGTCTTCTGTCTTCCCTTGTAGAATAGAGGTAGTGATAACCATTGCTTCACAGGAGTGCTCTTAAGTAATAACGAAGTCTTGATTTCCTACTCCTTTTTAATCAGAAGAAGAGCCTGCACATGTAATGGGAATGAAATGAAAGTCAGGAATGATTTTTCCCTTTCAGAGGTGTCATCACTAATTATGTGATTAGGTCAAAACCCAAAAGACACTGTTAAAACTGCTTTGTTACATTGTGTGCCCTTTAGAAAAGAATAATACTTTTTGTTGATTTTGGGCTATAGTGTTCAGAAATGTACAGCTTTTCATAATTTACATAACTCCTTCAGTCATCTTTGTGCTTGTTCAACATGCTCTTTTGAACCCTTTTTGGCATGCAGAATTTTTAAGTTGTCAAAGGCTTTGCATTTTGCTCTCAGTGCTTGGATCTGCTGATTGTGGCCTCCTCCTTCATTTAGTTGCATATAAATTGATAGACATGTTTTGTCTTTGAAAGTGACATGCAAAACAGAGAGTAGTCTGAGTGCTCATACTTTATTTTTTGGTATATGAAATCATGAAGTCTTGTTCCTGGATGGAAACTGAAAAATACTTCTTTTTAGATTAAGTATCTTTTCAGTTTGGCATGGGAGTGGGTTTTGTTGTATGAGTGGAGGAAGTCTTTTGGTTACAGAAAGTCTGTTGCCTTTTCTGCCTCAAAGAGGAGCAAATTTTAAGATTCTTAGTCCTCCTCCTATTTGTTAATTGCTGCACTTGGAAGATGGGAGAGATTTTTCTAGGAATTTCAGTAAACACTCTGCTGGATGTCTTCTGGTTGTCTTCAACTTGATGCCTTGTTAGGGGTAAGGGGTTAGAGAGCCGATTTAGGAAATATGTCGCTTAGATACGTCAGGGAAACTTACAGTTGCTGAGATGGTGACCAAGATTTTTACATTCTGAATTGCTCATCAGATTATGGAGGGTTTATGTTTCTCATTTCTCATGTCAAAATATAATTTTCATGCAAAGTAACAAAAGTGTATCTAGAATACGTACTGATTATCAGTGGGACTCAGAAAAACATATGGTTTTATATGATAATGTTCTTTCTTCACTTAAGAGATTTTTGGCTTGATAACTGTAAAAGTTTTAAAGAAAAATATTGTTTACTAATTATGCTCTGTATTCTGAATGAGTTGTATATGTTCTTTCAAGTAGTTTCTGTTTGCTTTGACTGTACAATTAACCAATCTGATCAGAACTGGCTCAGTTTCCATTTAAAAGCAAAGTCATACAGGAAGTATAATATCTATGTAAATGGCAGAAAAATGTTTGACTGGACCTCTAAGTTGTGTTAAGAGGTATCAGATAAAGACTTAACTATTATTTTTGTTCTGTTGCAGGGATTTCTCCAAAGTTAATATCCTGGTACCTGGTGCTGGGCTAGGTAGATTGGCGTGGGAAATAGCTATGCTCGGTTATGCTTGCCAAGGAAATGAATGGAGCCTCTTTATGCTCTTTTCTTCTAACTTTGTACTCAACAGGTATATAGCTTACATTTTACTTGCTGATTAAAACCTAGAGAGGCAAAGTCATGAATGAGAAAAGTCTGAATATGTAAATCTCACAAAATTTGTAAGTCCTAATACAGGACACACATAACCACTTTTTACACTGTTTTACTGAAAAAAAAGTCATAGGGATAAATGGGGAAGGAGGGATTGTATCCGAGTCATTAAAATGACAGGAAGCATAGGTTTTAATTATGAGATATAAAATCTCTGCAGATTTTCTGCAAAATTTTGATTAGCTTTTGTGATTCATTTCACATGGTTCTGTAAAATGCACACCTCCCTTACTGGTGTCAAATATGGACTCATAAATATGTTCATGGTATGTAGTGGTGGTGATTAACAGAGGAAAGCTGCTAAAAGAAAGTATTACATTCCATACTGAGATTTTAGGCACTATTTTGACATGAAAAACAACCACTGAAGCATGCTGAGCTTGAGTGGCTAAAATAAGATTTAACAGTTCCTCAGTTATGCTGAGGTAATCGATTGGAATGTAGTAAATTTCACATTACATGTTTAATTTCAAATGGCATTTTTGTGTTTGGTATTCTGCCACTTGCATTGGAAATTACTGGTTTCAGAATGAAGTTGTTAGGAAAGAAGATAGCACATGCAACTGTTCTTTTCAGAAAGTGGGAAGACTATGGGTGGGCAAGTATGAAAGGGGTCTGGGGGATGTTTCGGTTTTTTTTGGTGGAGGTGGTGCCAAGTTTAGAGAGACAGAATTTGCCAGTTCATTCATCAGTCTCTTAAGCGTATACCTTTACTGAAAACACCTAAACTATTGGTTTGTATTCTGTATTAACATAATGTTCTGGAGACCTGTTTGCAGACTGATTTTCCACAGCGCACCATGATGATCTTACATCTCTTACAGCTTACCCTTCAAAAACAACAAGGGGAAAACACTGTTTATGACATTATATTAATATATATATAATGTATATTATATAATATATAATGTTATATGAAAACAATGTTTATGACGGCTTCTGCATGTCTGTGTGTAACAGTAGTAGTCAATGTGTTGAAAATAGGTATTTACTGGAGGTTTATTTGTCCTTTTTTCCTACATTATTCTCAAATGAATCATCTGGTGGTGGAATTGTATATTACAGTTGATCTGACTGATGCCTTGCAGCTACTGAAAGGAAGCCACATTCCTCTTGCACTTTGAAACTTTTGAAATTATTCAAAGCAGCATAAAAGTATTCATTTCCCATCTTTGGTAGCAATGATAACTGTCACAGAGGTTTACTTCACCCCTACCTACCTCTGATGGCAGGCTTCCTTAAATAGTGACTCTTTGGCCTATATGTGGAACTGTCCTGAAGATTCATGCTTAGCTAATGGTGGTAATCATTCTTAGCATCTCGTGCTCATGTAGTGTTTCCTGTTTATGTAGGATATTTAGCAAAGAGGTGTATATGCATTAAACTTGCTAACAGTATGTGATTTTAGACAGCAAAGTTGAGTATTGTGTAATTGCTGTAATGTTCATCTTTTCTGGGCAAATTATCAGTCACATTTCCTTGTTAACATGGAAGAGAATACTGCTAGCCTGACTGAACTGCAGTCAATTCAGCTGAAGTCCAAGCATTTTCCTTTCTGCCCTGATCTAACTGGGTGCTTGGTGTGTCTTTTATGAAGGTCTTGGACTTGGAGAATCTTTCAGTTTAGTCTGCTCTGTATGTTAGTTAAGTGGCTGTTCGCAGTTAGCCTTCTGAAATGGACATCTTTGATTTCCTGAAACTGGAAGAAACAGAAATCATCAATATGAGCTGAAAATAATAGTAAAGGAAGAGTGGTAAGAAACAAGGATTTAGCGACTTAGTTTTTAACTATATTTTCAATTTAACTTATTCCTTCTTTCAGTTGATGAAAGCATGAGGATTTTGCTAACATGTACTTAACAGTTTGGATGTACCTTCTTTCTCTGACTGTGGTTCATTTTTAGGAGGACAAATTACTGTTTTGAGTGTCAAGCTAATTGCTACAGTAGGTTCCGAGATGTGCAGTGACTTAATATTTCTGTACACAGAGTGTTATCTGCTGATTTTCACATATTAAAAAAAAAACCACCTGATTTTCTTAAATGGTGAACTTCTGTTACAGTGGATAGAGTTGCATGGTATGATATATAGAGTGTGTGTCAAGGCATAACTGTGGTCATGGTAAGTATTTGAAATTATTTAGAATGTGTTATTCTGTTCAGGAAGCACTAATTTGAGAATAAAGTGATTGCGGAGTACTTACACTACAATGGCTCCAAAGCTGCTTTAGTTCTTTAACGGGAAATTCTACTTTTCCTTGTACACATAAGGTTTTTATGTGGTGTGTTTTTCTAGTGTTTACATGAGTTCTGGATATAATGACAGATGTCAGAGGTGATCACTGGCGGTTCATTTCTTAAAGTTTTGGAAGAGTTAAAACTGAAAAGCATAATCTGTTCTCCTGCCTCTGCTGGGCAGCCTAAAGCACAGGACACTTTACTTCCCTGTGACATCTGACAGGAGGGGAAACAACACTAGAGTGGTGTCTGTGTAGATGAGACAGGATCAGCTGGTTGCTGACTTGTTGTTTTCCACAACTGTAGATTTAGAGCACAGGGTCAATAGCCTTGGTCTCACTCAATTTGAGGAAGTTCCATTAAAGTAATATAAAATCACTTTGTACATAAGTCAAAACAGAGTTAGTTTAAAAATGGTTTAATTAACACCAGTAGAATTCATGCTAGTAATTGGTTAATCTGTACTTTCTGGAAAGAAATTAATTTTAGATAAATCTTGACATTTGGAGAAGGCTTGTTTGTTGCATGTCCATGAATGCCTTAGGATGAAAACAGCTAAATTACACTTGATCTATAACCCAGTGGTCAGAAGTGAGATTTGACCTGTCAGTTTTTTCCAGAACTGAACAATAAATGCCCTGCCCCTTTGGAAAATAAAGAAGTGTGTCACAAATGAATATGTTAGAGTTTTTATAATATAACATATATTACACGTTTTTTTGAAATGATGGAATTGCAAAGGACCGGAGTACTTAGTTTTGAAGTACTAATTGCTGAATCTGGAAATGGAGGTTTTCAAGCTTTTATTTGAAAAGGGGTTGGTCTTTTCTATTAAATTAGCAATTTCCTTTGTAACTGTTTCAGTATACTGCTGCTCAAATAAAAGTTGGTTTTGTCTTATTTTTTAATTGATAAAAAGAAATATAAATATGACATGAAGAAAGTAAAAAATGTTATTTCAAAGACTATCACAGATGTGTTCTAACCACCAGCCAAAAGAAGGCACTTTCTATAACCCAGTAGATTACTTGCAGTTTATGGAGCATTTGGTGATATGTGTTTTATAGGACAGATATCTCTGTTGTCTCTGAAAGAAAATGTTTTCATTTTTTAGTTACAGACTGATTTTACAAGACCATGGGAAAATCTTATTATACTTAAATGCTGTATTTTATCACTTTTTAAAAGAAGAGTTGATGTAGTTAGTCATGTCTGCCCACAAATTTTATTCTACAAAGACATTTACTTAGTGTAATTGCAGTGATCCAGATGTTACAAACTGAAAATGACTTCTAGTGTGCTTTGCAAAATGGCATTTATTTATTTTTTTTTTAAATTTTAAAGCATCCTTTCCATTAGCATCTGAAAAATGCTTTTATTTTGCTGTTTTAAAACCTATGATTATGGTTTGGAAAAGACTGAAAAGTCAGGAATGAAAACAAACATTTCCAATAAAATAATGTAACTAATGTTACTCCTTTTTTTTTAATAGAAAGATATATCATCCAGAAAATTTTAGCTTTATAGAATATAGTAAATTATAAATTTCATTAATCTTACAAAATAAACTTATGTATTTTCTTTTCAGCAGAGAAAGGAGTTGGAGAAAATGATAAAAAAGTTGAAAAAGAAAATTCTAAAACTGGGCAATTATTTTGTGATAATAATTTGTGTGTCCGAGTAAAATTAATTTTTTTATCAGTTCATAATGATGGACAGTCTGAAGTGTTGTGAACTAGATTAAATCCTTTAGCAAACATGTAGCTTTTACAAGAACTTTGACTCCTATATTTCTAAGAGATAAGCAATTAGTTGAAACTGAATTTTGCCAATTTTCATATTTTGCAGATGCTCTGAAATTAACTCATGTAAGCTTTATCCCTGGATTCATCAATTTAGCAATAACAGAAGATCTGCCGATCAGATACGGCCAATTTATTTCCCAGATGTCGATCCTCACAGTCTTCCTTCTGGTTCAAACTTCTCTATGACAGCAGGGGATTTTCAGGAAATTTATTCTGAGTGCAGTGAGTAAATGCAAGCTTCTAGGCTAGCCATGTATCTTCATGTATCTTCGGAGTAATTGGGATAGTTAATGATTAGAGAGAGAATGGAACTGTATCTACAAGCACTAAGGAAAACTATAGTAAAACTGTAGTAAAACTTGCTACTAACTTTAGCGAGGTTTTCTTATTCAGAATATTTCTCCTGCTGTATAATAATGCACAAATCAATAGGTCTGTTTCTTATTCCAAATCAGCTTTTCTTCTTAGTTACAAAAAGAATACAAACACCTCCTTGTCTAACAGGTCTTGCAGGACCCTTCTTTACAGTTATTTAATTTTCTGAAGATTGTCTTTACTATTACATTTTTTTTATTTTAATTACAGAACTTAAAACTTTTGCAATTTCAAGAATACATGTTTAGAGAAAAACAGGGACACTCATGCATTAAAAGGTAGACTTTGAAAGTTCCTGCTTGTTAAATTGACTAGTAAAAAACAGCTGGGGAGATATTCAGATACTGAATAAAATGTTTTAAAGCTAAGTGATTTGTGAATGTAGACTTGTATTGTTCTAAATACTATCTAGGGAGGCCTAAAATCACTGGGTATTTTTGCAGTTATATATTTAACAGCTGTCATATGAAGTTCATAGGACAGGTGAGTAATAGCATACTTGGGCCTTCATTTATATAAAATGTTACAACATTCACATTTTACAGTATATATGTCATGTATGAACAATTTTATGAAGTGTATGCATAATAACTATATGTAATATTTTAGAGTGTGTATGTACTTATACACACATATATACAGGTCAAATGAACCCAAACATAACAATTTTTAATATAAACCAAAATATTTTATTTACATATAAACAAAGTTAGGAGCCTTCAGCTGTTGCTAGTTGAAGATAATTCTGAGTGTGTGAACAAATGCCAGGGTTAAATGATGAACTTTCACGGGGGTAAAAGCATTCAACCTAATCTCTGTATACTTTGCTCTTTTTATGCAGATACATGGGACTGTGTAGCAACATGCTTTTTCATAGATACAGCACATAATGTTATTGATTACATTGATACTATTTGGAAAATCCTAAAGCCTGGAGGAATATGGATAAATGTAGGCAAGTGTGACCAACCTCTCTTTTTGACTTATTTTTGATCAAACAACAGGCATCTAATACTTGAAAAGTGTGTGTGGATGAGTGTATCTGTGCAGAAAACTGTACACCTAGAAAAATACAGGGCTTAGAAATTATCTCAGAAACGTTCAAAATATGTCCAGATGTTACAATCAAATTGCTAGTTACTATCAAGTCAACACCATGTGATTTTTAAATAGGCAAGTAAGTCTTCCCAGTGGCAGATTTTGCATTTGTGCATCAAACATTTGTTATTTGACAACTGTAGTGTTTTGTATTCTTTTTTGCTAATTTTTGAGAAAGTGAAACTTACGTACGTCAATGGATGTCAATACATTCTTGCTTTTATTATTTTAATCTCTATTTGTACTGTGCTTCAAAACAGATGTTTTGGCAATGAGATTTATGTATGCCTTGGATCAAAACCAAAGAGTCTTCTGTGGTGAAGGAATATCAGTCAGTCACTATCCCTGTCCTGGCCAGTCATAGAGTGCAGGCAGAGCTCCTGAGCTTTAGAGAGGGAGGTGATGCTGGACTGAAGAAATTTTAAGATACAGAAAACACAGTCTGGTGGGGAATGTGACAAACTGTTGAATAAGCAACTGAAGTAATCTGTTTTAGTTTTGCATTGATTCTGAAGTTCATGATAAAAATCATATTTGAGTAATAGAAATACATTCTTTTGTCAATATTTACAGAATCATAGAGTGATTTAGCTTGGAAGGGACTTCAAAGATCATCTAGTTTCAACCCCCCTGCTATGGGCAGGGAACCTTTCACATTTTTAAATATGTGAGTCTGGATATAAGCATTTGTTGCACTTTCAGTATGTGCTCTTGATTTTTAAAACATTTTTTGTCTTTTTGATAGCCATTCCTATTTTATCTTTGTACTCTAGGTCCTCTCCTTTACCATTTTGAAAACTTGGGAAATGAACTTTCTATAGAGTTAAGCTATGAGGATATAAAAAATGTTATCCTACAATATGGATTCCATATAGAGGTAAGAAGATGCTGTAATTTGCAATGAGTAGTATTGGTATAAACCAGGCAAACTTTGAATAAACCACCATAAATTGAGTTCAACATAATGGCATTTATTAATAACATCTAGGAGTATTACATGTGTTACAAATTATCTGCTTTTCTCATTTTTGAGAGGTGTACAGATGGGCATTGTAGTCTAATATAGCAATTTCTTGTATCGTTCCTGTAGAGAAGCTGTCTTGAAAACTGCTGCTTTGTTTTCAGGTGGAGAAAGAATCTGTACTGTCAACTTACACTGTGAATGAACTCTCCATGATGAAATACTACTATGAATGCGTGTTGTTTGTGGTGAGAAAACCAGAATAGCAGTGGTCTGAATAGGTTAATGAGAAAAAAAAAAGTTGGCTTGAAAGCTAGTAATGAGGGTAAAATGGTCTGGGTGATGTATGAACACAACCTCAAATAGTGGTGCCTTCTTATTCCTAAGAGGATATAGATAGTGTCTATTTTCTTAATATCTTTATTGCTATTCAGACATACACTATGCCATGCATATTTGTAATATACTTGTGAAAGTGGAGGATATAATGTTCACATACACTGTCATTGTGCTTTGGAGTGCATTAAAAATAACAGCAAAAATGTTTTTCTTGAGAACAAAATGAAATGTTCACCATAAGTAGGCTAATTCTCTGCATATGCTGCTTGATTTTTCATAGATTTATAGTGATTTTTTTCTATTATCTGACGTAGGAATGCATGGAGGTGCTTACTGTAGTAGCTGTTTTATGTTTAGAGAAGTATTTTTAAATGTATACTTAAATTATGAAGTCTGAAATGGTTGGAAAGTGGTAAAATTATTCTTGGCAGATAAAATAGCGATCAGAAGTGGTAGAGCATTTTTTGTGGAGCTGAAATGAAGTAGATTATTGTATAAATGCTAATCTTTGTACCACTGTTAACAGTTTAATTAAAACATAGAGCCTGTGGGCAATTTGAAATACTATGTGAAAGAATACTGAATGAAGAAAAAGCAGAGTGTCACAGAGAAAAGCAGTATGATAACCTCAGTTGAGGAATACTACCAATTTTGATTGAGCATTTTGTTGAAACTGAAATGTGTTAGATGATTTGCCGTCTTACAATACATTGATTTTGAGTCATCTTCTGACTGCTTAAGCCAAAATTTCCAAAGTTGATAAACATAGCTGAATTATCCATGCCATGTGTAGGTAGTACAACATAAAAACACCTGTCAGGGCAGTGAAATTACATGTAAATGTGTCCTATAACCTAATCACCTCTGCATGAGTCAGGATATGCAGGCCAATTGGTAGGCAATTTCCTTGTAACTTCAGACACTTTATCCTTGTGACTTCTTGGTTCCTTCCTTATACTAATGTGTTTTTTTCCTAGCCGATGTGGCTTAGGTGAATATTTAATTTACAAGTCATGATATTATGACAAGATGCTGAATCTCCTGTCAGTTGGAAGTTACGTACATGAAAACAACATTAATTAATAATCACTGTTCTGGGTGGAGTTGTCATGTTAAGTATTTTGTTTTCTTAATATATTGATTACCTTAAGTATCGTTTTCACACATTTTCAAAATCATCTTTAAAATATAAAACCATTGAGGGCTCAAGTTTTTATCATATTTGGCCTTAATGACACTGGTCAATATCTTGTTTATTTCCATTATTTTTAGTCCTGTCTTTCATGGTGGTGTCCTAATCACCTGCGTTTAATAGATTTGTTACTGGCTTTTTGATTTTTCCAATTAAGGCCAGAAATTTGTGCCTTTATTCCTAAATTGAAAATCTGCAAGGATGAAAAACACCACCTTTTTTTTTTTGGTTTCAACACTGCAGAGGAAAGCGTGCGCCTGTATATGTTTCAGTACTTTGCCACTTTCAGCTCAGAATTCTTATTGAAATAGAGGTTTCTGGTCAACAGCAGTTTTAAAGTACACCATGGCTTAAACTAATCTTATTTGGACTCTTCTTTCTGAAAGTGCACCACTATGATTCAGTTCCATAAATGAGGTGTCAAAGGTCTACCCTGCTCCAAGAGAGAAGTGTTTAAAGGAGAAACACTGGTATATCAACATAAAATTAAAAATAAAAACCCTTGCACATCTAAAAATAAAAAAGCCACTTTCTTTAATTTCTGTATTATACCATTTATTTTAATTTTTGAGGGAATTTGTGATTCTTTGCTTCAAATCTGGTTTTTTCCTATTAGAATATGATTAGCATTTTACCTAATTTTCAAGCTCCTTGTAATCGGACATAGCTTAAGTGAATGTCAGTTGTGCTGTTGCTGAGTAGTATATCTGTCTGGAATGTTACCCAGTTTCTGCCTCCTATCCCATCTGTAACTTGGAATGTGGTGTTCCTGCTTTTCACAAATAGGCAATGGGACTCTTTCTGGTTGAGTGTCATTATCCTTTGTTCTGGTAGTTTTGTTCCTTGCCACCCCATGTTGTCACAGGTGCCATTTTTATGTGTTTTCTGAAAATGTTTTTATTTGCTTATATCAGGTATAATATGGTGGTGTGCTTTTATTTCTGATCTCGAAAATGCTGTTTTCCCCGCACAATATTATTTTAAATCTCAACAGTGACATTAAGAGTTGGAAGTAAAATAATCTTGTGAATGAGCTGTTTTAGTAGTTTTTTTACCTACCTATTTATGATTTCCTAGAATTCACCACTGTACTGCTATGGGGATCGTTGTGTATTATAGAATGTGATCACTGTTTTATTGAGTTGTATATGCGGGGGAGAATGCTCAAGGTGTTCATCAGATGAGACTGTTTATGTTTGGTCATTATTAAACTGTACACGGTGACAGATGTAAAACAAAATGCTGCATAATCTTAAGTGTAAAGCTTTTTTATATAGAGTTTGACAAATGTAAAATGGCCTGGGGTTTTTGTTTGGTTTTTATGTGTTACGTTCTGGAATCGGTTGCAAAGATAAGGATGGGAAGTTTCACATCTCTGCGTCCACTTCCCAGTATTTTACAATGTGTGTAATGGACCTGGGCTTTTTTTGGCTATTAAAGCTTGCGGCATGGCTCGATCCCGCTCGTGTTCGACTCTCCTTTACCGCTGGGGGTTTCCCGTGAGGGAGCGCGGCGGCGGGCGTGGCGCGCATGCGCGGTGGGTGCGCGGCCGCGCTGCCGGTGCGGGCGGAGGTCGCGAGCTACGCGGAGCGTCCGGCGCGCGGCCCCTCATGCCCAAGCGGCGCGCGGAGCCGCTGATGTGTCACGTGCCCGTGAAGCGGCTCCTGCGCGCGCCGCCCGTGCCGCGCGCGGCCGAGCGGCGGCCCCGGGTCGAGGCGGCGCGCGCCGGCCCCGCCGCCCCGAAGCGGCCGCTGGAGGAGGCGGAGGCGCCGCCGGGGAAGCGGCCCGGGCCCAGCGCCGCCAGGGCCCCGCCGGGGCAGGGGGGCAGCGAGGGGCGGCGGCGCGGCCAGCCCGCGGCGCCACAGGACGAGCGGGCGGCGGAAGGATGCGCCGGTGGCCGGGGCGAAGAGCGGGCCTCCGCCGCCGCCGAGGTAACGGAGCGGGGCGGGCCGGGCCCCTCGCCTCCGGGGAGGGAAAGGGGCGGGCGGTGCCGGCAGCGGCTGAAGCGTTACCGGGGGGTGCGGGCGGGCCTCAGACAGGCACGGCACTGCGGGCCCCTTCTGTGCCTTCTGGGGTTAATCGGCTGTGGGCCTCTTTAAAAAAAATTTTTTTTTCCTTTCTTTTTTTTTCGTTTTCGAAACAAGAGAAGTAGCATCCAGCTTTCTTCTCTCTATTCTCTTCCTTCCTCCTCCCTCCGCCATGGAAAAACTGATGGAAAACAGCCTTCCAGGAGTTCCCCTTACTGAGTCTGTACTCTGCCTCATCCCTTTCCAACAGCGTCCTGAAAGCTTTCAGAGGTTATTGTAGTAGCATCTCTGTTGGGTGAGAGTGAGGGTCAGGCTCATTTACAGCATCAACTTCTTGATCTCCGTGTTTTGCCATTTATTAGCAATACCAAAGTGCCTTTTAACCAAAACATCTGTTGAAGTCGGTGGTCGTAGGAAGGGCATCAGTGATTTAATGATCAGGGTATATTGAAGTGACTTTTCTGGTTAACTTTGAACAGTCTGCGTTCTTTCTGGTTTGACCGTGCTTTACATGACGGTTCAGAAAACATAATTTGGTACCAAGAAAGTTTTAGTTTTCCAAAACTAAAATGCTAAGTCAACTTTCACACCTATCTAGAAGTTTGATGCATGTAAACTCAATTTGCATCCCACATGGACCTTTTAAAGTAAGACTAAAATATTAAATCAAGTGATAAGGAAGTAGCAGAAACTAATCAGTTTGGGTGGACTTTGAATTACAGCTGTAGACTGGTTTTGAGATGTTGGGGCCTTTCTCAGTATAACACTCATCTATAAAGAAAACAGTGGCTTTTCTTTCTCTTGCTCTGACTTTTCATGTTTTCTTTGGTACTTGTTTGGTTGGTTAGTGGGTTTTTTTGGTGATGGATGGTAGAATTAGGGCAAAAAGGAAAATTTGAGGAAAATTTCTATGTCCTGTGAAAATTATACAGCCTTTTTAGGTTGTGCCTTTTAAACAGGAATCTCTTTTTCTGAAGAGGGAACAAGTGTGTTTTGAAGCATAGCAATTAAACAAATTAAGCAAACCTCTAAAGAGCAGTTTAACTCCATCACAAATATAATGCTGGATTATTTACTTATCCCTAGGGTTATCTGGCATAGTTTTGTGAGCTTTAGCAGTGGTAGGAAGACGAGAAACCCCTTGAATGTCCACGCACCGAAGAGTATTAATCTGTATAAAATATTTTTGTAGGACTATATTTTTAACGGGTTGTTTCTCTAAGTACAATATTATATAAAAAGTGTTCTAGTTTTAAAATAAAGCTTGGTTAGCACCTGAGGCAAGGATGTTTTTTCCAGTGTTTTCCTCCCCATATATTTTAAATCTTTTATAAAGATATTTCTGATGATGATTTTTACAGCTTTCTAAAAATACAGTAATTTCACGCTGTTGAAGTTTAAAGCAATTCCAATTATATTACAGTTGGCCAGAGAAGAAATATTATTTTAATTTTATTTGCAAGCCCACTTTTGCAACTAGAGTTGGAAGACTAGTTCTTAAAAATTAAACAACTTAGTCCATAGAGACTGAGCATTTGTATCTCTGAGCTTGCTACATGTCACCTATCTTGATAAAATTTATTCTCAAAACACACGTTGAAATCTATGAGCTGAATATGAATACTTGATTCTTTGTTTTGCCCTTTAGGTGTGAATGTTTAGCGTTTGTGCCTGTCTTTTGTGCTTGATTGTTTTTTTCATTTACTCACTGAATCTGGGAGTTACCAATACGCTGAAATACTGCTCTGTAGACTTGAACAGTCTTGAGTTTAATCAAGCATGTAGTCTGAGTCCAAAATTAAAAGTATGCAAAAAGTATTTTTGTGTTTATGACACTTTGGATTCTAGTCGCTTTGTAACAAACATGCAGTCATTTACTCTGTGCATACAAAGTACAGGATTCTGTTTTTAAGTACTTAGCTCTCAGCATGAGCAGAAACTTATTAAAATGTAAAGAGAGTTCAGATTAAACATATGGGAGTATTTGTAAAGGTAGTTGACAGTTTCTGAAACTCCACTGGCAGAGATTTTTTTAAAGAATTTGTTTGCAATCTGTCGTGCACAGTTCTGTGTGAGTGAGGCTGCTTAGTTTGGAATACAGACTGGAAAACCATCCCTTCCACACGTTGTTGATTGTTTTCAATGCTGTGCAGTACACTGGCACTATAAAATTTAATTGGTTTTGGTCTCAATTCCCATTAATGGGAATGTTTGTTCTTTGTTATTTTCTGAAGACAGTCTTTTCCCAGTGAGCAAGTTCACATTACTCCTACAGGCACAGAGCCATCTTCCTGCTATGAAACATCTGCACCTTTCATTCTCTCTTAATTATTATAGGTCTTGAATAATGCAGGGTTTTGCAGTAGAAACAGAATACTTAGTACAACAGATTGTGTACAGTTCAGGAGAAGTCTCTGTGGTAAAAAACAGACAGATGTTTTCTTTAAATGGCCAGTATGGTGAATTTACATGTGTCTCTCTTTTCGGAAGTGAGAAGAAGCATAATTTTTCGGTACGTGAGATGGTATATAGGGATGATACTACTATTTTTTGAATGTTACATTTTTTTATTCTGTGGTAAAGCCAGGAGACAAATCATGAATATTTTCAAAAGCCATACTGTAGAGACCCAGAGAAGTTGATGTAGATTGTGGTGATGCGTACACTGCCCCCCACAGGCCACACTATGGTCTGAGAAATACCGAAACAGTTATACCAGCTTATTTGTTAACACTTGTTACGGCTGAGACAGTAAAGTAAAATATTTTAAAATTCTAATTGTATGTTAGAAAAATGCAAAGCAATATTATATGGAAATTAATTATTTTAGATTTGTGTGAGTATTTACTGTTTTTAAATATCAGAAGAAAATACATATTCAAGACCTAAGGAATGACTTAAGAATTCCTCTTCATCTTTGTATCATGTCCATAGAAAAGTGCCCAGATTGGCCACTGTTTATAACAATGACATGGTTATAAACAGGCAGCGTGTTTTCTAATAGACGTTTAAAACAATTTTTTTAAAAATGTAATTCCATAATAAAATATTAGATAAGTACATGTTGCTCCAAGATTTTTCTGATACTGCTTTCCAGTTCTTGAACTTTCCTCTCTTGAGTATGAAATTTAGACACAGAAGAGACAAAATGTGGTTTAAACACTATGCAATGCCTTATTTATCTTGCAGTTGTCATCATCTGAGTTGATGTAAAGTAGGTAAATACTTTCTTCTGAATGTTTTAAATGTGCATGAAATTTGCATACAGTTATGAGAAGAAAAAGCAGTGAGCAGTTTTGTATACAAAGTCCAATAATTGTACAACTTTTACAGTATTTTTCTGTACAAAAGTTGTAAGTTGAAGAAATTGGTGCAGTTATGAAAGTATTTCACAGAGGTTGTGTGACAGTTCTTTGCAAGAGTATTTAAAAAGGCAGAATAAATTGTGATTACTTCAAAATTCTAAAATTTTAAGAACTGTTAATATAGAACAGCTGTGTAAGTCATCCTTGTTTTAGTTTCTTACATAAAAAGTTTCTTTTTACTGCTGGGATACACATTAATGTTTTATTACCTCTTTGTCTATTTGTCTCTTTTCAAAGCAAGAAGAAGAATTCTGTCCGTATAACTCATTCCTGTATTGGAGAACACCGCTGCCCACTATTGATTTGTCTGATATTCAGAACCTAGTTGAGGAGACTCCATCAAACGTTAGAAATCCTTCGAAGACTGATACCACAGACACTGAAATGGAAACCTGAGCAGTTGTTTCATAGCTGTACATCTACTTACTGGAAACTTGTTTCCAGTGGGATTCAGGTTTTGTTACTTGGCTGAATAATAAGCATGCTTATGTGGTATTGAAGAAACTGTTGTGGCAGTCTGCAAAAGCAAATCTGAGTTGCCTAAGTGAAAGGGATAATCGGCATTAGGTACTCCTTAGTAAGCTCTCTGGAGATGTGCAGTATATGGAGGAGGCTACGATGCCTAACAAGAATACTTGAAAACAGGGAAGAAGACTAAAAGAAGAATACAGAAAGTTAGAACTTTGGGGTGCATTTGAAAGAAACAAATGGATATTTTACATGTCAAAGGAAATGGAAAATCATTTTATCTGTCCTGAACAAAAAGACATAACTGTGGTACCTGAAAGTGAAGTATTTAACATGTGAATTTATCATAAAGCACGTGAACTGTAGTGATTTTTTTTCTGTGTAATAGCTAAACCAAAAAATAAGACTCTGTCAAGACTAGACAAAACATTCCCTTTTCTGTGCAAACCAAAAATTTGTGTGGCAGAGAGGGGGAAGGAAAAGGGGATATTTTCTTCTGTAAGCTGCCATTCTTCTGAAAGTTTTTCACATTCTCATTGTGGAAAAGTTTTTTCACTTTCTTTCTTTAACATTATGCATAATAGTTGGCACCCATCTTTTAGGGTTCTGGTCCATTCTTGGATTACTGCTATTCTTAGTCCTTGTGACATTAGCTCTGAAACAGTTGGTAGCATCTAAATGGCAGGTTTGTGCAGGTGTGTCAAACAAAGTTAATGCAATATTAAATTACCGCATACACTTTTTCAGACTTTACTGACTGAGGTGTAGTTTTTGCAGAGACTATGAATTTTTGCAGAAAATTTTTACTGAAGTTCATAGAATTAGTGTTTTTTGCTGTGAAATATGAACTTAATGCTTGTGATTTGCAATTTATTTACGAACTGAAGTACAATTAGAAATACGTGTCTTTAATATAATAGACCGAAGTTGTATGGCAAGACTGTTACATTTTGCAAATCTGATATGTCTTTGAGGATAGAAAACATTGTATTTTTTCTGGAATCATCATTAAAGAAGGCAACTTTTGAATTTTATTTTTTTTTTATAATGTATTTGCTAAAGGACAATAAAGTTTTACCTGCATGTGTTTGAAAACTTTGTGACTATTACTGTGTGAAGTTCTTGACTTTATTTCTTAAAATTTTTGCTTCTGTAACTTCGTTGATTTATTAGCTCTTTTTTGCTTAAAATAGTCAACTTGTTAGCTTTCTTGGTAAACAATTTGGAAACTGTTTTCCAGTATAGGTATCTGTATTTGTTTATTGCATATTCATTTAGCTTGTTAGAGTCTCTGAATACCTGCTGAAGAAAGAACGAGGTTTAGTGACTCAGGCATTTCATGATGCTTCTTTGGATATCCTTCTACCTTCTGTTAGATTAGCTGGATACATATTTGGACAATATGTATTTTTTGGAAGACATTTTTAACATTTTAAGTCCAAATGCATCGACTTGTCTTAGGAGATACTTGAAAATGTTTTTTAAAAATCTTTTCTGGTAAGAATGCAATTGCTATTTCATGTTTACTCTAACCAATACAACTTAGTGAAGAAATAGATTTATTAATTTGTTGAAGTGTTTGGTTTGGTTACATTACTTAGGATTTTTTTTACCCTTGATATTATATGCGTTCCTGTGTTTATGGGGTTTTAAAATATTTCACACCATCTGGTATTCTGAGGATGCAGGATTTTGCATTATTAGCTAGTATCTTTGCAGCACACTGTAGTCACTTAAAATCTGCTTGGAGGTTCATACACAGTAAGTATGTCCTAGCAATAGACTGCATTTTAGTGTTAAATCTGTCTCCTCTGTACTCGTGGGACAGGAGGTGTTAGTGTCTTTGAAATACATATTTGATCTATTCCATAACATCAACAACAAAAAAAATACTTTAAAACAAATTAAGCTTGCAGTGTGTTGTAGGTTGTACGTTTACTTCATTTGCAATTATGCTGTAGGCAAGCACTTTCGTCTTAGTTTGTTCCAGTTGTGGACTCCGTAATGGGCTGGAATGTTACGGCTACTTTTAGAGCATTTGCTAAGCTGATTAATATTTTCCATTCATTTGTTTGCAAATAGAGGTAAATTTAAAAGCCTTGGAAAACTTTTTGAAATTACTCTGAGAGTTTGGATTACGCAAAAAGCTGGGCAAGGTAATGGGGACTGATGGTAGGTTACATAAACTTTGCTTTAGAGCTGACAAAAGCTGTGATTGAGAAATTACATTTCTTGGTGTCTGGTGTCTCCAGATGCCATGTATCACACTATCAAAATCCTGGCCTTGACTTTTGACTCCATTCTTCTAGAGGCTTTTTGTTCAAAAGCTGTATAAAAACTATATCTAAGCTTAAGATGTTTTAATTTGCGTATACGTTAATACCCAGGGACAAGAAAATGTTCTTTTAAAATAAAGAAATGTCAGCACAAGTCCTGAGACAATTCATTAGCTACATACTAACTGCCAATTTGATGGTTTTAAATTTCAGGGAAAAAAATAATTTATATTCTTTCTAGGTACCTGGGAGTTCGCTATTCTCTAAAATATTTCTCTCTAAAAGGAGAACCTAGCATCACAAGTGTAAGAACATGTGCAGGATAACTACCTAGACACCACCCAGATTGATAAGGGTGCTGCATCTGCAAGTAGCACAGTAAATGTACGGGCATAATAAGTCAGATGCTTGAGTTCAATATGCTTGAGGGCAGATTTAAACAGCAAAGTAGTATGCATGTCTTGGTAAATTTTCTGCATCATTCTAAACCTGAGGCCTGTTTTACATTGTCTGATTTGTGTTTACTGAAGGCCTGCTTTATAGTTATGGTTCCCAAGATAGATAAGCCTCTGGGAGAAGCGTAAAGCTCAGCCCAAATCAGGGAAGTGAAGAACTGCTATGAAAAACAGGTTGCTCAAATAACCATGAGTTGGGTAAGTAGACTGTCACAGAAAGAAAGGAAGAAAAAAATTGGATAATGGAAGGTAGGTGATGATGAAGTAGCGCAGCCTATGTGTGCAAGTATAGTTGGCCAGCAAATCAATGACAAGTAATATTTTCAACATTATCTCCAGGACAGCAACAGTACACTAATTTGAATATGAATATCAACAGTAAATTTACTAGGTTTCTCAGTGTTTTGACAGTTACTGGTTGATGTTTTTTCCTGTTGGCCAGGCCAAGAATTTAGTGGACAATAAAAAAGTACATGCTTATGTATACATTTTGTTGGAAAGTCCACAGGGTGCTTCATAAAGAAGATAAAGAGTGCAAATGTATATGTGTGTTTCCAGGTAACAACAAAGATAATTATGTCCAGCATTTGCCATCATGTTCTGGTTACAGCAAATTTTTTGTGGGGAATTCATGTACACTTTTATGAAAACATCTCACAACTGCTGCGGTAAGACTGCAGAGACTCACTGCTGCAGCAAAACTTAGGCTCAAACATTTCATAATAATTGGTACGACTGGGCTGGCTTAATTATTTCCATGGCTACAGTTATAACCTTGACTCTCTAGGTGGCAATACACATACACAGTAAGTTGCAGTGAATCTGAAAAAATGGTTTGGGTATGCTTTTATTCTGAACTGCTACTGAAAATTCAAGCAGTGACATCATGAATGCTAATCATTTCCTTACTGTGATACATAAAGGCAGATCAAGACACAAGTTCCTGATCATAAGGTGACACAAGATTTTCAGCATACCTAGAGTAAAAACATTGTTGCAAGAATTTTTGATTCATCTCTTAATTATCTCTGCAAGTCCCCTGGGAAAAAAAAAAACAAACAACAAAAGCAAGCAACCAAATCCAATTATCAGTTTAGTACACGGGAATCTGTTGACACTGCTTCATAGCACTGTTTCCTTCAGTCAGAACTGGGGAACAAGATTTTTCTGATTGTGTGTTGGATGGAAACCTTGGTCAGTGGCTGAAGGCTACTTGAACTGTAAAATGATAATAGGAGGAAGAAAAAGGTAAGTGGTAATTCATAAGAAACTAACTAATAAAGAAGGATTTAAATGTCTGTATGTATAGGTAATATATTTGATGTGTATGAGGAAATTTCAAATAGGGTTTTTCTAGTAGTATTCAAATTCCTACTTCATGTTTTTTGTATTAGAGAATTTGATGTTGATATATAGTATATTTTAAGTCTTTTAATTGCTGTTGCATTTGTAAGTGAACTCATTAATTGTTAAGTATGTTTTAAATACTCCTGGTGAGAAAAATAGTGTTCATGACTTTTTAGTCACTTCTAAGGACTTAAAAATCATTGTTCTTTCTTCTCTTAAAGCCCTACAGGTAGTAAATAACTTTTTTCACTACTGAAGGGAAAAGATAATTTTCTTAAAAGTGGTATGTTACCATTACCAGGAGAAAAAATGTGAAAGCAGAATGGAGGCAAAGTAAATTTTTGTGAAGTGTCAAATGCCCCTTTCTGCTTTATGCTGGATGTTTTCTTTTCATGCTTCAACTTGTAGAATATGAAAAATTGCTTTCAGTTTATTTTAATTCCTGGAATTTAAAAAAACCTTATTTTGTTTTTGATTGCACAGTTATTAAGTAAGAATTATTTTGGCTTAAAGTAAACTATCAAAATCCTTTGGTTTCATGATTGTTACTTGGTAAGTGCAATGCTTTTTAAATCAAATAATCACAAAGTGTTGCATCTGAGTATCTGGTAATAGTTTTTCTACTTTTACCTTTAAGAAATTGGAGAAACTTGTGGTTGAAAAGAGGAAAATCTGCTTCAGACAAACCTCTGTATTTCCAGATGTGTAATGTGCAAATACAGGGACAACAAAGATAGCTTTTAATTGTTTGACTTGTAAAAATAATTCAAAAGTATTATTGTGAAATATGGTATGATATGAGAAGGAAAGGTATGGATAACAGGCAAAAACTGTTTATACTTTGGACACACCAAACCCAGAGAGTGAATATCAAAGTGCCTTAAATTTCTAAGACAGCGTAAAGCTTCAGGAAGAAGTTGTGCTGGATTTGGTGTCCAGTATGGTGGCATTTTTTCCTTAGAGTCCATACAGGCAGTGCAGAGGTGTCCAAAGTGCTTTAAGTACTCCAACTTATTACTGGAGTCTCTCTAAGTCAAAGAAATAGATACTGAGTCTGCCTAGTCTCCTACTCGCTTATATGCCAAGAAATAGTGTAAAAGGTAGAATAGGCTCCCTGTTATTTTTCTTTCTCATTATTTTGAGCCCTGAGACAGGTTCTGGTACTTGCATTTCAATGCATTCCTTTCTCTTTTTGTGCAGTTTATTTCTGAATATCTTGGATTTGTCAGTGCTACCTAGTCCAATCACAAATTATTTTGGGATTTCTGTTTTATCTTTTTTCAGGTGGTGTCAAATTAAACTGAGGTCAGAATTGCTAATTTGTAAAGACCAGTCATTTCAATAACAAATTCAGTAATCAAAACTCTCTAACTCAAATTCCTTAGACCACATTCTATGTTGATTACCAGCCTCTGTGATTGACTTAAAGGAGTAATAAAAATGCATTGTTAGATTTTCAGTAACCAAAATTAGAAATGCTTTGCCTCTTAAAGATATAATGTTTGAAGTTCTCTAATCTAGTACTGTTTTACTAGAGATTATAGTAGTGGAATTTGATTTTTTGAGATGTATTCTGATTTGCAGTTTTCTAATCACAGTGTATTCATTCTATAGAGCATTTGTGCTTTTAGGACAGTGAACAGTAACTCTGCTAATCTTTGCAAGAACAGGTCCTTTTTTTATCTTAAGTCTCAAGTAGTCAAGGAAACAACAGTATTTTAGTGTGTTTTCTTAAAAAAATTAAAGGTCTATTTGATCATATTTTTAAAAAATAATCAGTCATACCAATTTGAGCCAAGGATGCAACCAAATTTGTTTCTTCCCCTAGGCTGCTCAGAAAGGAAAAATACTTCCAATGTTTTCATATGAGGTAACAAACTCCTTAATTTCCTGAATAGAAATAAGCTTAAATTTACTTTACATTCCTTTTAAAAATCTAGGTACCTAAAGGTGAAATTAGAGCAGCCAGCAACACACAGCCAAGTTAATGTTTGAAGGTTTATGTTTTGGTATATTTTT